ATTTGGTTTTAATTGGCTTGGTTCAGAGGATGTTGAAGGTGGGCTGATGGTAGAGATTTTTTGGTTTTTTTTTACACATTGTTGATTACAGTTGAGTTGCCTGTTCCACAGTGCTGCTTAGGAGGCACTTAGACATATTTGTGAGTATTTTTATTTGGAGAACATATTGTTCCTCCAGCTGCAGGGGTATAGTTAGAATGGTTTTCAGTCTTCCAAGTTAACTAGGACCAAAGAGATTGTTTCAGATAGTTCAGCAAACAATGAGGTTGATACCCTGTCCTCCACTCTCACCTTTTTTTTTTAATACTTGGATTGAACCCCAGGGTCTTTGCACTACTGAGCTATATCCCTAGACCTTGTTGTTTTTAATTTTGAAGACAGTCTCACTAAATTCCCCAGGCCTCCTGGAACTTGCAATCCTCTTGCCTCAGCCTCTCTGAGTGTGGAAGGTACAGGTGTGGGCTTTTTTTTTTTTTTTTTTCTTTTTTTCTTTTTTATCAGTACCAGGGATCGAACTCACAACTGCCTGCTTGCAAGGCAGGCGCTTATGCTGCTGAGCTAAATCCCCAGCCCCCAGGTGTGGGCTTTTTAAATTTTTAAAATATCTCTAGCTTGCAACTTACTAACCAAGAGTTCCCAAAGGTTAGCATTTTGCTTCCAAAAATCCCCCTCAGCTTTTTGTGCTTGATGTCACAATTATTGACACATTTATGTAGCAGTGTCTGTAGATCACTGAGTTTGATCTCCGGAAGTGCCTCTCTATGACCTGTTCAGGCAAGCCCACAGTTGTCTGAGGAATGCACATCCGGTTTGCCTCTAGTGTCCCCAAATTACATGTGTACTTCAGGGATTAATGTCAGTCACTGACGGCTTTCCTAGTTTCTTGTTTGGTAAGTGAAGACATCTTGATATAGGAGAATGAAACTCCCGACCTACTATGTCCAGTAAGAGTTTGAGTTCTCTAAAATCGAAGAATGAATTTTAGGGACAACAGGTTAAGAGTAGAATATATTTATTGAGAGAAAGAACGCTTCTGTCTGAGTGACAGAAGGGGTCCCTAGTGGGTTACCAAGAACTCTGTCTTTTCTAGGGACTTGTATAGAGCAAAATCATGGGGTGAGATGGGTTGAAGGTGGGGGAAAACTGGGAACTCACAGGCAGATAGGCATAAAGTGGGACATAACCATAGTTAGGCAGTAATATAGTAGTTCAGGTAAAATTGATTCAGTTAGGGACAAATGGGGAAGCGAATCACGTAGAAAGTAGACATTCTTAAGGAGCAGTGACTCTTCCCTAGGGGGATGGGATGTGACGCCAGGCTTCCTCAGCGTGATAGGGAACTATTTAGAATATCCATCCTCAGGATATGATGGGTGCATTTGTTTGGTCTTTTGTCTTGAGATCACACAGGAGGTGTCTGTCTCTCCTGCTGTTGCCAGATGTCTGGGCTTATGCACTGGCTCCTTTGAGGACCTATCCCTGTCTCACTGCCTATAATATTTCTAACTAACTCTGCTGCCTGCAACACTCTCATCTCTGACGGAAATGCTTCTGTGCTGAAAATGTTGGGAGAGGCTCTGCTATTAAGTCCACTTTGTTATGTTCACTATGCTTGAGAAGTAAGCCTAACTCATTTTAGAGCTGTTTACTGTCTGACAGTATCTTTAAATTGTCTCTTTTAAGTCTAAATAATTTTTCTCTGTGAAGTTTGACTTTTTTACACTTCTCAAGATTATATTGAAGTTTTTTCTCTTTTGTAATTCTTCTCAATAGGGAATTTTACTCTCCAGTGACTCAGTAGTAGCAAACATATTCATGGAGAATTACAGGGTGTTTTGCCAAGTGATTAGAAACCAGCCCTACCAGTATCTTTTTCTGTACAAACAAGATAGAGTGGAGCAAGGACCAGAATAAAATGCTTCCCTAAGACTTGGTACAGAGTTGGTTAGAAAAATTTTTTGTAACAGTTTAATGACTCATTCTTGTTACTTAACTTATTTAGGGACTGGATCTGTGTAGTTCAGACTGGCTTTGAACTTTCACTGTGTGGTCCAGGCTGGCCTCAGAACTGACTGCAATCCTCCTGCATCAGCCACCCAGTGCTGGGGTGGCCTGGCTTGAAATGTTTTTTTTTTTTTTTTTTTTTTTTTTGACACAGGGTCTCGATACCTGGGTTAGACTGGTCTTGGGCTCACTTTGTAGCCCAGGCTGGTCTTGAATTTGCAAGGATCCTCTTACCTCAACCTCCTGAGTGCTGGGATTACAGGAGTACACCACCATACCTGGCTTCAATTTTGTATTTTGGTGAAAATTGACTGGGTTTTCCCTGCTGTGGCTTTTGTCTTGGCTGGCTTAGGTGTTCTGAAATTATTTTAGTAATGATTTATGATTCCCCAGCATAGTTTAATAAGTTAGAGTGCAAGTTTTATATATTTTTCAAGTCTTGGCATATATGAGATAGGCTGAAATTGAATATCCCTGTTTTATAGTTCACGGATATTCTAGGGGATATGATTACCTTAGAACAGCTTTTTTGTGATACTAGGGACTGAGGCAGGAGGATCATTGCAAGTTCAAGGCAAGCCTAGACTACATAGGGAGACCCTATCTCCAAAAAACAAAAAAAACCCATGAAATGCTTTGGAATAAATGCTTTGTGTCTGCTCCTGGAATTACTGTTTAACAGCTGTTACTTCTTTTTGAACATTTAGCTTGAACAAATTCACAGTGCACAGTGTGGTAAAGATATTGGTAGAGTTAGATTTTGTTCATAATTTTGAATTTTAGTATATTTACTCTACTGTAAATAGGTAACAGATAGAATCCCAGAAGTAAGTGGTAATTTTCTGTTTTTCTTCATTAGGTTTCAACTTTCTGTGCTGTGGGGTGAACCGTAAGAGAGGTAGATCTGATGTGTATCTGCTGAAGAAGCTTGAGCTCCTTGCTATGACTTGCAGCCAGCTATTCTTCCCTGTTAATAACTGTACACTTTCTATTGCTGTGTGTGGTTTTTTGAGAAGGCGGTTGATATCTTGCAAGCATTTCTTTTTTAATTTTTTGCAGTGTTCAGAACATCTTATTAAAATACAGAATTGTTGGATTTAAGATAAATAGAAAAACATAGTAAATATTTGCTTGCAAGCATTATTTGTCTATAGCTGCCATACCCAAATAGAATGCAGTTTTGACATAAAACTCTGCCAGGTGTGAGGTACGTGCATATAATCTCTGCACTCTGGGAGGCTGAGACAGGAGAGTCATAGGTTCAACCACACCCTGTGCAGTTTAGCAAGATCCTGTCTCAGAATAAAAAATAAAAAGGAATGTAGCTCAGTGTTAAAGGCCTTGGGTTCAATCCCTAGTATACAAAAACAACAGTGACACAAAACTAACTTCCAGTGATTGTTTTCATTTCAGTAAAGTAAGTCTCTCTGCTCCCTTCCTTTCCCTTGTGTTGCACATCATTTACCTGACATTTCTAGTCTTGTAGATGGGTTTCATAATTCATAATGATAATAATAGGTAGTATTATTATAGTGCTTATTATGTGTCAGATTTGTAGGTTACTCTCATTTAATTCTCCTCTTCCCCCAAATCTGAACCCAGGGTTCTCAGGCAAGCCCTGTTAATGCCTGAACTATACCAATATCCCTATTTGTGCATTTGATGGGGAGGGGTTGAGACAGGGTCTTAGCACATAGTGCAGATTGGCCTTGAGCTTGCTTATGTAACTCAGGCTGACCTTTAACTCCATGATTCTCCTGTCTCAGCTTTCCAAGTGCTGAAATTACAAGTGTGCACTGCCATAGCTGGCTATTTCTGCATTCTACAAAGTAAACAAGGACTAGAGATGCTTTAACCTGTGTGTCCAGGACTTCCTAGTTAGTAATTGTTAGACTCAGCTAGTAAGCTTAGGTGTTCAGATTATACAGCCTGAATTACTACCCCTTGTGCTATTTGTTGTTCTCTTTGCTAATCTGTTTTGTTTTTGCAGAGATGGCATCAGAGCTTGCACATTGTAGGCAAGCATTGACGCACTTAACTACATCCTCAGCCCTGCCTGTTTTTACCTAAACTTTTGTGTAAACTAACTTGCCTTTACACATTATTGTTATTGTTGTTATTGTTGTTATTATTATTGCAGTGCTGGGTATGAAATATAGGGTAGTGAACACACTAGATATATATTCTGCCTCTGAGCTACCAGCTGCTAACTTGCTTTTAAACAAATTAAATGTTTGTTGCTGAGTAGGTTTTATCTAAATGTGACATTTGTAATGAAGGAAATAGTAGTACAGAAGGTAACTTCTCTTTCTGACCGTAATTTTCCTAAAAAAGCAACAAAAGTCTGAGCTCTGTGCATGCAGAATTATCATTTTTTTATAGAACTGTTTTAGAAGTTAATGTGTACTTTTTTCTTTTTCTCTTTCTTTCTTTTTTTTTGTTTGTTTTTTGAGACAGGGTCTCACTATACAGTTCAGACTAGACTTGAGCTCACTTTGTAACCCAGGCTGGTTTTGAATTCTTTGAACAACAATTCTCCTGCCTCAAGACTCCCAAGTGCTGGGCATGCACCACCATGCCTGGCAAAGTTAATGTGTACTTTTGTCAAGAATGGATTAATAATTCTGTTGTCAATTCCAAGATCCCTAAAACAAAACTAGTTTTGTCAGTAGTGCTTTTTTTTTTCAGTTGACCATTACAAATGCATTTGTTAATGGTGTTTTATACTGTACTTTTAATTAGAGCAAGCCAGGCAGGTGCTGTGTCCCTGTGTACCAAAAAGAAAACTAGTCAGAGATGAGTGGAACTTTTACTTTTTGCTAGAATGATTAATGGCTTTTGTTTATTTGTTGTTGTAAGATAGGAATCTCAAATCTCCCTGTGTTGCCCATATTAACTTTGACCTCTTGGCCTCAGTCTTGCCATTGACGGGGACTATAGGCTCATCATTGAACCTGGCATGTCTTATTTAATGTTTTTGTTGCTGTTGTTTTTAGTTTTTTGAGACAGAACCTCACTATGTAACCCAGGCTGGTCTCAAAACTCATAGTGATCCTGCTGCCTCAGCCTCCCAAGTGCTGGGCTTATAGGTGTGTACTACTATGTCTGGTTTAATCTTTTTTTTAATTATTATTATTATTTTTTTATCTTTTTCCTTTTCCTTTTTACTGGTACCGGGGATCGAACTCACAACTGCCTGCTTGCAAGGCAGGCGCTTATGCCGCTGAGCTAAATCCCCGGCCCCTGTTTGGTTTAATCTTTACATAAACCTTCTTAAATAGTTCTCCTTTTTTAGTGAAATATAAAGAACAATTTGCCTATATTGCCTTTGACTTCTGGACATAGATCCAGGTCTTCTGCTTTCTTTTATTTATTTATAAATAAAGGGATTATTTATTTATAAATAATTTGGTACTTGGGATTGAACTCATGACTTCTTACTTCCTACAAGGTAGATACTTGTGCCACTGAGCTATATTCCTAGCCCTTTTAATTTTTAAAGGTTTTTTGGTGTGTGTGGGGGGATTTAGACATATGGTCTTATTATATATAGGCCAGCTTTGAACAGGATCCTTCTGCCTCAGCCTCCTGAGTGCTGGGTTTATAGATGTCTGCCACTTTACCAGACTGTCATTTTTGGCTTTTTTTTTTCAGTGGTTTGGTATTTTGACTCTTAGTTGAAGGGTTATAAGATAAAAAAGATTTGACTTTATTCTTTTTTTTTTTTTTGGTACCAGGGATCAAACTCATGACCTCATGCTTGCCAGGCAGGTGTTTATCTGCCACTCAGCTAAAAGCCCAGCACCCAGATTTGATTTCTTTTGTTTGTTTGTTTTTGAGACTTTGTAGCCCAGGCTGTCTCAAACTCTCCACACGATCCTCCAGTCTCAGTCTCCCAAGAGCAGGGATTACAGGCGTGAGCCACCAGCCCAGCTAGATTTGACTTCTTAATAATAGACATTCTAAGTTATCAACAATTGGTCACGCATCTGTTGTCCTCCCCCGCTTTTTTTTTGGTCATCTCTTTTTGGGGGGTGGTTAATGGGAATCGAACTCAGGACCTTGCACTTGCCAGGCAGGTGCTGTGTCCCTGAGCTACATTCCCAGCCCTTTTTGTCATCTTTGTCACTTTGTAACCTAGGCTGGTCTTGAACTCTCAAGGATCCTCCTGTCTCAGCCTCCCCAATGTTGGGATTATAGGCAGTGGCAACACACCCAGCTTGTCCCCAATTACTGTTTTTTGTTGTTGTTGTTGTCTTTTTTGAGACAAGGTCTCAGTTCAGGCTGGCCTTGAGCTCACTTTGTAGCCCAGGCTAGTCTTCAACTCGCAATGATTCTCCTGCCTCATCCCTCCCGAGTGCTGAGATTACAGGCGTGAGCCACCACGCCCAGCTCCGTTTACTGTTTCTTGAAAGCATTAGTTTAGAATTTCACTCCTAATTTAATGTTTCACCCAGCTGAAGTTAGCCTTATTAACCAGCACTGTGAAGTATCTTTTTGACGGCTAGATGACATTTCTCTTGTCTTTTGAGAAGAGAAATGAAAACTATTAGCAGTATATTGAAGGGAAGGTCTAGTCCATTCTGGTGACTTTTAATTTTTAAAAACAGCTGGGGATTTAGCTCAGCGGCATAAGCACCTGCTTTGCAAGCAGGCAGTCGTGAGTTCGATCCCCGGTACCGATAAAAAGGAAAAAGACAAAAAAAAAAAAATTTTTTTAAAAACATAGTTAATGTTTATTTCCTTCCAATTTTATTTTAATTAATTATTTTGAGGACATGATTTTGCTATGTAACCCAGGCTAGCTTCTAATTTGTGGCAGTCTTCTTGCCTTAGGCTCTCAAATACAGGGGTCTACCACTGTGCCCAGCCCCAGTTTCTATTAATGAATTTTAAATACCAAGAGATCGCTGTTGTTTATAGTAGAAATCAGGAGGAGAATGTGAGGGCAACCAATTTTTTTTTTCTTGCCACTGTTGCTAAGTTAAGGGCAACCAACTTTTGCTTGCTTTGAGTGCTGTTTTATTTTTTTCAGCATTAGTTTCTCATGCTTAACTTCCTCATTGTCACAAGTCAACTCTTTTATCTTCTGAATTACTACATATGGTCTCTAAAAGTTCTTATCCTTTCAACCCTTAAAATTTTTTTTTTTTTGGGTCAAGCTGGGGCTCCATAGCTCAGTAGCACAGCGCCTTCCTGGAAAGCACAAGCTTCTGAGTTTGATTGATTCCCAGTACAAAAAAAAAAAAAAAGTCAAGCCTCAAGGTCTCCAGTGTGTGGAGTTATCTCTTACTCCCTTTCTCTTTAGACCATTGTGTTAGTGAGACCCTTTAATGGCTAAATATTAAGAAAGGTTATCTTTCCCACAGAAAATCTGAATGTTTTGAGTGAGAAAGGATGTGTAACAAGAATGGAATTTGAGAAGGTCTCTGAGCACAGAGGAGAAGGAAGAAGGGACACTGAAAAAGCATGATCCAAAAGGAAAGCAGCAGGAGCTTCTGGTTATGTTTAGTTTGACTTAAATTTTGATTATTATTATTATTATTTTTTTTTTTGACACAGTTTCTACATAGTTCAGGCTGGTCTTGAGCTCAGTATCCTCCTGCTTCAGTTCCCGTGTTCAGTTATAGGCATGTGCGGCCACAGCTGGCTTCAAACCTAAATTCTTCAGTGTGTTTGATGGAGATTATATGAGTGGATGTGTACATATTAATGACTTTTTTAAAAATTTATTTATTTATTTATTTATTTTAGCAGCGGCAACTGGAATCAAAAGATCTATGGCATCTGAGGTGAGTTGCATAATAATAATCACAGTTTTATTCCAGGATAGCAGGATATTTGTGAAATTTTCAGTTTCTCTATGCTTAGGTCTTGAGATTTTAGTTTTGAACAAACAACTTATACAATTAGCTTGCATACTGTCAGAGAGGACTGTATATTCTGGCTGTGGCACACATACCATAGGTTTGCCAGGGGCCAGATGTTTTCACCTGTCAGTTCAATGTGAGCAAACAGTATTGAGAGTGAGTGGAGGATTAGCTAATTCAGAAAAGAAACTGGTGAAAAAAGAAGGCTGGAAGTGGCAGTGGGCACATACAGTCCCAGGTGCTCAGCTGACTAAGGTAGGGAATGGTTGGAGCCTAGGAGTTTAAGGTTGTCCTGGGCAATGCAATGAAATGCTATCTCAATAAATAGTAAAATAAATGTGATACTGTGCATTAACATGGTATATGCCTTCTGAATATTTTATAAGATGTTCTTAATCCAGAAAGGATGTGTTAGGTTCTTTATTTTCTTTCGCTATTGGGCATTAAATCTAGGACTTTTGTACTGAGCTACATCTGCATCCCATTTTTTGTTTTTGTTTTGAGACAGGAACTTTTAAGTTGCCCAGACTGGCCTCAGATTTGTAGTCCTTTTGCCTTACCTCTACAGAGTGCTACCATTGTGACTTGTGATTTATCATCACTACAGTGTAACTGTTGTATTACATGAGAATCATATATTGATTTAGACTCCTCTCTTCTAGACGCCTTATGCCACTGGCATGACTATCAAGAAGATAGGACACCGAAGTGTTGATCCTTCAGGAGAGACAACATACAAAAAGGTGAGTCTGGATTGAACTCTCTCATCTTACTTTGAGAATGCAGTAGGGACAGCACAGTTTCCTTGATACTGTTCTCTGTGATATCCCATTTGTTAATATCTGAGCCTTTGGACATTGGCTGTACAATTTAGAGTTTAGAATCTATATTTCATAAAGGGCAAAGTATTCTATGTGTATGTATGTATGTTTAAATGAGGATGTTCTTTGTAGTTTTTTGTTGTTGTTGATGTTGTTTTGTTTTTGAAATAAGCTCTCTTTGCACAGTCCAGGCCTTAAACTCAACTGTTGTGGCCCAGCCTGGCTTTAAATTTATAATCCTCTTTCAGGCTCCTGAGTAATAGGATTGCAAGTGTGTGCCATGGCAGTTGGTGATTATTTGTTTTGTTTGTTTCTTTTTTCCTTTCTGATGCTTGGGAGCAAATCCGGGTTCTGTATATGCTAGACAGGTGCTCTACCACTAAGCTACATCTCCATTCCTAAATGAGAATATTCTTTTTTTGTTGTTGTTGTTGTTGTTTTTTTCGTTTTTATTGGTACCAGGGATTGAACTCATGACCACACACTTGCAAGGCAGGTGCTTATGCCGCTGAGCTAAATTCCCAGCCCTTAAATGGGAATATTCTTTGTGAACAAATCTGCTTCTGTGAGGTAGAGTCCTTGGGTTTCACTGTTAGGTGTAAGCATATAACTAGACCCTCAAGGCCACTTTTTGTCACAGAGAATTACGTTTCTTGAAGACTTCTTGCTTTCCTCTATTGCTGGGTGTTCATGAATTGAGGGCCATGTCCCAGCCTGGTGATACACAGAGAGGCAGCACAATGATTTTTTTTTTTCTTTCCTTATTTTTTGATTTTGTTTATCTTATGATTATCATCATTATCTTCAGACAGCCTCCTTCAGTCCTCCAGTTCTGGACTAATTTGGAGAAGCTTAGGCTTCCCAAAAGGGATAGTGTTTAAGCATCTGTGTCTTTTTTTTTTTTTTTGTGATACTGGGGATTGAACTCACAACCTTGTGCTTGCTAGGCAGGCGCTGAGCTAAATCCTTAGCCCATCTGTGTCTTGTTTGATGCAAAGCATGAAGATTTCTTGGATTCTTAATTCTGACCCATATAAATTTTGTCTGTTTTCTGCCTTTATTTTGTTGTGCTAAGTAGCAGAAGTGAACTGACTCATATTCTTTTTTTTTTTTTTTTTGTCTTTTTCATTTTCATTGGTACCAGGGATTGAACTCACGACCACCTGCTTGCAAGGCAGGTGCTTATGCCGCTGAGGTAAATCCCCAGCCCCTGACTCATATTCTTAATCAGGTACTTGCCTGTGTCTGGAATGGGTTCTATAGCCCATTCAACTGACATTTACTGAGCTCTTTTTTTTAATGAGTTTTTTGAGAGTGTGTTCTACTACGTAATCCAGGCAGGGTGGCCAGTCTTAAATTTGCTATATAGCCTCAACTGCCCTTGAATTTGTAATCTTCTTGCCTCTGCCTCTTGAGTGCTGGGATTACAGGGATGTGCCAGCATGCCTGGCTCTCTTGAGTTGTTTTTTTGTTTTTTTCCTCCCCGTTACCAGGAATTAAACTCACGACTTTGCACTTGCCAAGCAGGTGCTTATACCATTGAACTAAATCTCCAACCCTGGAGCTCTTTTTATGTGCTAAAAATCGGAATAAAAAGGTGAGTTTCTAGGCAAAACTTTAAAACACTAGTTATAATTACTTATTTATTTTTATTTTATTCTATTTTTTGGTACGGGGACTTGAACTTATGCTTGTAAAATAGGCACTAATGCCAATGAGCTATATGCCTGGCCCATCTGGATATAATTTTAATGCCTACTGAAGACTAAGTGTAATGTCTATTGTAGGTAGGGATGAGGGAAATAATTTATAAGAAACTAACCCAATAAAACTTTTTGTGAGGATTGAGAAATGTGTTATATGTGTGTTAAGAGGGTGGTAGCTACTAGCCACACTTCTGCTGTAGCTTTATTTAGTATAGTTATAAAATAACTGTAGCTATTTAGTATTTAAATTTAATTTAATTTAATTTAAATTTGAAAATCCACGTGTATTTTATTGGACATAAATTTATATGATGTGATATTTTCCCCTGGGATCAAAATCCTGGATTATTAGAGCTTTTATATTTGTGGTTTTACCATATTGTGAAAATTATAAAATCATGTGGTGGTACATGCGTATAATCCCAGCACTCAGGAGGCTGAGGCAGGAGGATCATTTTCAGTTCAATACCAGCCTGGGTTGAAAAGTGAGCTCTAGGTTAGCGTGTGTATAATAAGACCTGTCTTGCTGTCGCTTGCTTGCTTCTCTCTCTCTCTCTCTCTCTCTTTTTATTTTTTTGTACCAGGATTGAATTTACAACCTCATACTTGCTAGAGAGGTGCTTATGCCTCTGAGCTATATTCCCTGCCCTCTTTTGGTTTTTTAAGACAGGGTGTTGCTCTGTAGTTCAGGTTGATTTTGAACTCATCATATAATCCAAGGTGACTTCAGATTAGCTTCCCTTGTGCTGGGGTTATGAGTATGTGCCATCATGCCTAGCAGTAATTGTAATTCTTGGGGGTTTTTGGCACTTGTGCCACTGAGCTAAACCCCTAGCCTAATAATTCTAATTCTATTTTTTTTATTCTAATAATTCTAATTCTTAAGTACTTCTTTCAGAAATAATTTGAATTGAGCCCAGTGTGATGACATATGCTGTAATATTGGCATTCTGGGAGGTTTAGACAGGAAGATTACAAGTTTGAGTCCCAGTTGGACAACTGGGTGACTTTAAACCTTGTCTCAAAATAAAAAATAAGGTAAAACTCACTCTGAAGGCACTACTTCAATTTTTATTTATTACTTTTGTCTTTTCCAGGCAGGGTTTTGCTATGCAGTTGAGGGTGTCCTTGAACTCGTAGTGATCCTCCTGCCTCAGCCTCCTGAGTGCTGTGATTACAAGTATGCACCCCCCATGCCCGGCCTACTTTTATTTATTCATTTATTTAGGTAGCGGGAATCAAACTCACAACCTTGCACTTGCTGCACAGGTGCTGTGCCCCTGAGCTTGCCCTGCTTTAATTTTTAAAAAAATTTTATTTATTTTTAAAAAATGCATGATGGGGGGCCAGGAGGTCAGTGCTTTAGGATGGACAGAGGCCAAGATACTCCAAACCAGCCACTATTTATTGGGTGTATACTATGTAAGAGGGCTATTGAAAGATTCAAGTTCAGTGAAAGATTCAGATATCGATGATTCCCTGCTTCAATTTTTAGTACCATCAAAAAATATATAATAATTTAAATTGCTTGCTTGGTGGTACATCCCTGTAATCCTAGCACTTGGGAGGTTGAGGCAGATTACTAATTCTAGGTCAGTCTGGATTACATAGACCCTATCTCAAGAAAATAAACAATGAATTTGTCTTTCATATTTCCTTTTTCACTTAAGAGCTTTTTGCCAGTCTGTTACTCTTGATACACTGATCAGGCCCTTCTTTAGAGGAGTAAAGCCTCTTTAACCAAATAGTTAAGTAAACATATAGTCAATTTTAGTTATGTTTAAATATTTAGAAGGTACTCTACTAGCAGGAATCTTGCAAGTGAGACCTAAGAGTATTCTTGGGACACAGTTCATCTTCTGAATACAAAGAAGCTCTTTTTTTTTTTTTTTTTTTTTTTTTGAAATTCCTGTTTAGTCAGGTCAGTAGGTGTAATGCTTAGCCTAGTCAAGGCAGCTCAATCTCAGCTTTATTACTTTGTATTTTCATTGGCCTACCCAGTCTTTTCCAGGCTTAATTGCAGTGTGAACCATGAGAATTGTCCCAATTTAGTGTTAATTACGGAAGGGCATTTGTTTTCAAGTGTTGCTTCTGACTTGTTTCTCCTGAGTTTTTATTGCTGTTGTCACACTTAATTTAGAAATTTTTCCTGTCTTTTTTCTTTTCCTTAGACGACATCATCAGCTTTGAAAGGTGCCATTCAGTTAGGCATTACTCACACTGTGGGGAGTTTGAGTACCAAACCAGAGCGGGATGTCCTCATGCAAGATTTCTACGTGGTGGAGAGTATTTTCTTTCCTAGGTATGGAGGTTAAATTAATGTTTAGGGGAATATCCTAGAAGATGCAGCTTTTCAAAGTCAATGTTAGAGCAACTTCAGGATTCATGGTCTGACCATATTAAGGATGTGTCCAATCCTTAGCCTATTCATAATTGGACTGATGTAAACTAGGGAATTTTAAGAGCAGATTCTGTCCTTTAGATGCTGCTGTGAGCCTCTGGCCTGTGTACTGACCCATTAAATAAGTAATACATTGCCTAGTCTTCTGTGTCTGTCTCAGTGAGTGGTAGACTCATCTGTCCCCACTGACCCTCTAAGAGAATATGTTCTTAAGGGAAAGCCTCCCTCTCCCTTATTAGGGTGGACTCCCTCTGTGAGATTGAGAAGTTAGGGATCTTCTGTTTAACCCTACAGTGAAGGGAGCAACTTGACACCTGCTCATCACTATAATGACTTCCGGTTCAAGACCTATGCACCTGTTGCCTTCCGCTACTTTCGGGAGCTGTTTGGTATCCGGCCTGATGATTACTTGGTAAGCAACTGATTTTTTTTTTTTTTACACTTTTTTTTTTTTCTTTTTTCTCTTTATCGGTACCGGAGATCGAACTCACGACCGCCTGCTTGCAAGGCAGGTGCTTATGCCGCTGAACTAAATCCCCAGCCCCTAAGCAACTGATTTTGGAACTCTTAACTGCGGTTTCTTAGGATTATTCATAGAAAAAGGCTCCCTCTTTTCATAACCTTAAGGCTTTTAAAATTTTTTTCCCTCATCTTTTTTTGAGACAAGATTTCTCTATGTAGTTCAAGCTCACGTTGAACTCACTTTGTAGCCCAGGCTAGCCTCGAACTCACAGTGATTCTCTGGTCTCAGCCTTCTGACTGCTGTGATTACAGGCATGCTTCATCACATCTGGCCTCTCTTGATATTCTTGCTGTAGTTTTTCTTCAGAATAGATGTGTATCTAATTGATTTCTGTATTGGGTACTGGTATGTCTAAATCTGTTACTGTCTCCTCTTGGCCTCAGTATTCCCTCTGCAATGAGCCACTGATTGAACTCTGCAACTCTGGAGCTAGCGGTTCTCTTTTCTACGTGTCCAGTGATGATGAGTTCATCATCAAGACAGTGCAGCATAAAGAAGCGGAGTTTCTACAGAAGCTGCTTCCTGGGTACTACATGGTAAGGGGATAGGACACTGGCCACTGAGGCTGCCTATCCTGGACAGGGTTGGGGAAGCTGTCTTCAGCAGGGCAAAACAGTGTGTCAGTCAGTGATGTGTTAGAGTATACGGGTTTGTGATTGCCCATACATACTTTTTTGCCCTGTTTCTATCATGTCACTGTGGTTAAAGGATTTTTTTTCTATCTTTTTTGAGGGGCGATTACTATGAATTGAACTTGGGGCTTTTGCTTTGAGCTTTATCAGCCTTTGGTATTTATTTATTTGTTGTTTTAATTTTTTGTGACAGGGTCTCAGTGTATAGTTTAGCCTGGCCTTGAACCTACTGTGTAGTCCAGGTGGCCTCAAGCTTATGGCAATCCTATGCCTCAGCTTTCTCTGGTGTTGGAATTATAGGTGTGAGCCACCACCCCTGGCACATAAATTTTCCCCCTTATTACCAAAATATCTCATTAATTACATTTTTTAATTCTTGTTTTTACTAATTTATTTATTTAGTTTTTTTGAGATAGGGTCTCACTATATGGTTTAGGCTGGCCTTGACCTCACTTTGTAGCCCAGGCTGGTCTCAAATAATGATCCTCCCAAGTGCTGGGATTACAGGTGAGAGCCACCACACTTGGCTGGTAATGTGATTTTTAACATCGGCTGGAAAAAATGATAGCCTCTTTAACAATGCTGGTTGTCCACATGTAGACAAATAATTCCAGACATCTTTTACAGTGCACTAAATAAAATCAAAATTGATTAAAGCCCTACATATAAAAACAGAAATAATTGCTGGAAGAACAAAAAAAGGTAAAACTTAGAAAGACATAGGAATAGACAAGGACTTTGTTTTTTGCATTTTTGAGATAGGATCTTGCTGTGTAGTGAAGGTTGGCCTCAAACTCATTACCCAGGCTGGCTTTGAACTTTGTGTCAGTCCTCTCTCAGCTGGGATTAGAGACATGAGCCACCTGCTAGACAAGGACTTCTTAAACAGAGCTCTAGTTCCATAAAATATAATAATACCAAGAAACAACCGGTGGGATTATATCAATTTAAAAAGCACCTGCATCGCAAAGGAAATAAGAAAGTAAAAAAACAGTTTATAGAATGGGAAAGAATTTTTGCCAGCCATTCCTTAGAAGAGCGTATAAAGAACTCTAACAAGTTAGAAATAAATGACCTGGTCAAAAAATGGGCAGTTGAAAAAGATAAAACACTTTTCAAAAGAAGAAGTACAAATCATCAATAAATACATGAAAAAAAATATTGTGTAGCTTTGGCCATTAGAGAAATGCAAATTAAAACAGCACTGTGACTCCATCTTACTCCAGTAAGAATGGCCACATCAAGGACTTAAAAAATAACAAATGTTAGTGAAGTTGGGAAAAATGAACATTTCTATGCTATTGGTGGGAATGTTATATTGGTGTAATTACTATTGAAAACAGTATGAGATTCTTCAAAAAACTAAAAATACAAATTTTATTTGTCCCACTTACACCTTTTTTGAGGTCTCATCTTAAGAGTTATCATACAGCAGCAAAGTCACAATAGCTAAAGTATAAAAGAGAGCCAGGGATTTAGCTCAGGGGCATAAGCACCTGCCTGGCAAGTACAAGGTTGTGAGTTTGATTTTTGGTCCAAAAAAAAAAAAAAAAAAATGAAGACAAAAATTATGAAAGAGCTGTTGGGGTCAGTTCAGTTCCTGATACCAAAAAAAGAAAAAAGAAAGAAAAAAAAGAAAAAGAAGCCTAAATTACCATCAACAGATGAAGAAAATGTAGTATATTTACTCAGTGGGGTACTGCTAGGCCATAAAGAAGGTTAACTTGGGTCACTGTTTTGAAAATGGATGACTTTTTTCATTTTTTGTTTTTTTTTTTTAAGAGTCGAAAGAATTGGGCTGGGGATTTAGCTCAACGGCATAAGCGCCTCCCTGGCAGGCGCGAGATCGTGAGTTCAATCCCCAGTACCGCAAAAAAAAAAAAAGAGAAAGAGTAGGAAGAATTTATTTGTTTATTCAATATTCATTCATTCTTTTTTCTTTGGGGTACCGGGAATTGAACTCATAACCTGGCACTTGTCAGGCAGGCGCTTATGCCACTGAGCTAAATCCCTGGCCCCAGGAAGAATTTATTGAGAGAAAGAAAGCTTTGTCTAAGAGGGACAAAAGGGGGCCCAGAAAATGAGTTGCCCACCAACCCTGCTTCTCAAGCGTGTTTATTGAGCAAAACCATGTTGAGAGACAGGTTCCAGCTGGGACAGAACAATAATCAATCAATAAAGTTATAACAATAGTCACAGTCACTAATATTGATTCAGTAGCAAGTCACAAGGTGGGTTTGAGGTGGGCCAAGAAAATGGTGAACCAATGGTGAATAAGACTACAACAAGCATAGTCACTTGGGTAATAGTGATTAAATGGGGATCAAATGGGGAAGCAAGTCATGCAGAGCAAGCCCACCTGGGACAGAGAAGAACTTTCCTAGAGGGGGAAGGTTAAGGTTTGGTCCTCCACTCCAAGGTGATTGATGTCTATTTAGAATATTGGGGCTGGGGATTTTAGCTCAGCAGTATAAGTGCCTGCCTTGCAAGTGCACAGTCATGAGTTCAAGCCCCAGTACTGGGGAAAAAAAAAAAGACCATGCCCAGCACCTCCAACACATAGGAAATAGAGTCTGAGTAACTGAAAGGCCATTTTTGGGCTAGGGATTTAACTTAGCAGCATAAGTGCTTACTTGCAAGCGTGTGGTTGTGAGTTCAATCCCTGGTACCAATAAAAAATTTTTAAGAAAGTTTAGAATATCATTCACTGCTGTTCAACCCTAGAGGAAGTATATGGGTGAGTAGTTTCTGTTTTTCTTGAAGTCTGGTCTTTGGTTAATACAGCACCACCACAGTTGTCTTAGCATTTACCTTTCAAGGGCCCAGCCCTGTCTGACTGCCCACAATATTTCTACCTAACTTAGCTGTTTATAATAGGATTGGTACACAGATGAAGTATGTACCTTTATACAATTTTAAATGGCCTGTTCTTTTTTGATCAGAGTAAAACAGGCATTCTCAAGGACTGGAGAAAGGAAGAATAAGCCTGGGGATGGTATGTGGGAGGCATCTCAGTGCTTCAGGGAGAATTTGGTCTGTTCCATTGAAAAAGCATATTCAGGGACAATTTGTTTTTGTAATGTAATCTTCAAGATGTCTTCCAGTTTCATCTCCAACATGTCAGTACAGTAATACATTTCTTCCAGTCCTCTTGTTCTGTGCCTCTGTCCAGTGATCTCAGTGGAAGACCTCCAGCTGGGTGTGATGGTGTATTCTTGTAATCCCAGCACTCTGGAGACTGAGGTAGGAGGATCTTCACAAGTTTGAGACCAGCCTGGACTGCAAAGTGAGCCCAAGGCCAGCCTGAACCACGTAGCAAGACCCTGTCTCAAAAAGACTAAACAAAACAAAAGAAAATCCCGACTTACTAGATGTTCAATACAAGTTTGTGTTCTCTAAAATCAAAGAATGAGTTTTAGGAACACCAAAGGTTAAGAGCAGAATCTATTTATTGAGAGAAAGAAAACTTCTGTCTGAGACAGAGATGAAAGTGGTCCTGAGGGGGTTGCCCTGGATGACTCTGGAGGCCGTAATGCAAAGTGGAATCATTCACAGAAGGTTAAATACCACATGGTTTCTCCAATAAGAGATCTCAAGTAAAAATAAAGAACAAAATGAACAAGAGATGGTAGGAAATGGAGATAGATTGTGGAGGTGCGAAGGGAAGAGAAGGAACAGGAACAGTTCTATGAGACAAATGTAATTATTATGTGTTACAAACATACTAATAAATGCATTTTTAAAAATAAAATTCTCTGTGTGGGCTATATAAGCAAGTTCAAATCCAGCCTGCGCTATGCATAGTAAAACCCTGTTTCAAAACAAAGCAAAATACTTGGGGAAAAACAACTGCTTTAAACTCCTCTGAATATATTCATGTCACGGTTCATGTCCTCAGTGACTACTATATTGGAGGGTCTGTGGCTCAGTTTGTGGTGATCTCATCGAGACACATGCTTTTGAGAAATTTTGAACATGTGTAGGTGTACGGACAGATTGTCCCTATGTCAGAGACAAATGCAGGATGGATGGTAACTTTTACCCTTGAGTTGCACTGGAAATGAACTGACTTGCTTTATTACATTTTACTTTTGTGTGCTCAGAACCTCAACCAAAACCCTCGCACTTTGCTGCCTAAATTCTATGGACTGTACTGTGTGCAGGCAGGTGGCAAGAATATTCGGATTGTAGTGATGAACAATCTCTTACCACGGTCAGTCAAGATGCATATCAAATATGACCTCAAGGGTTCCACCTACAAACGGCGTGCTTCTCAGAAAGAGCGAGAGAAGCCTCTGCCGACCTTTAAAGACCTGGACTTCCTACAAGATATGCCTGATGGTCTTTTCTTGGATGCTGACATGTACAATGCTTTGTGTAAGACCCTTCAGCGTGACTGTTTGGTGAGTCTGTTGCATATCCTCTGTCAGACACGAAAAATCTCAATCAGCAAGACAGCTTGGTTATACTTAAGAGTTCATTCTGTGGTAGATGGGACTGTGTTCCTTAATTGTGTGTCTTAGACTGAATATAAAAGAATTAAATCAGCTCATAGCTATGGCATCACATTTAAAAATTTTTTAAAAATTATTTTGAAGGTAGTAATATACAACAAAACAAGACGGAACAAAGCCAATTGAGACAGTGTAGTGAAATTGGTACAGAACTTCACAGCAGGTTACCGGGACAACAGTAATAGGTACCATATATCTCGTTATCTTCACCGTGGTTGTTCTTTCAATCAGGCATAGCAAAATCAAACCAAATACATAACATTATAGAACTTATTAAGACAGAATATTGAGTAGAGCAATACCATTCATTAATCAGAACAAAGCAAAACAGTGATAAAAATATTTGCCTTCAAAGAGATAGAAGGAAAGCCCCCTTATTTGCTGTATTGCATATGGTTAGCCTCTCAAGAGATGCTCAGATCTCTGGCTCCCATTTGTTAATGGGGGAGGGAGGATGGCATCACATTTTTACTTTCTCACTGTTGATTCTCCCTATTGAGCTTTAACTTCCTTCTTTAGTTAGCCTGGGTCATGTAGTTACACATACTTTTTTAAACAAGAAAAGAATAAAAATGATACAGAATTTCAAAACAAAATAGATTAACACTGGTTAGTATATTGCATATTGTTATCTTCAAAGTAGTTCAGATCACAAGATAAAGGCATGAAAAAATGATCAATTGCCTTGCAAGAAGGCGGTCATGAGTTCGATCCCCGGTACCGATAAAAAGTTAAAAAAAAAAAGAAAAAATGATCAATCGAATAATGAAAGCACAAACTGTTCTTTTTGCTGAACTATTGGTGATTAGTAGTATAGTTATATATCTTATATATATATATATATATATAGTATAGTTATCTACTACTACATAGTCTCACTGTGCAGTTCAGGCTGGCCTTGAATGCACTTTGTAGCCCAAACTGATCTTGAACTTGAAACAATCCACCTGCCCCAGCCTCCTAGGTGCTGGGATTGCAGTATGCCATTATGCCCAGCTTCCCTTCCCTTTGACAATACCTGTTGTACATTTTGGATCTTATTTACTGTTTCAGTTTTTTACACTGGGGAGACAATATAGTATTTACATGTGAGTCTGATCAATTTCATTTAGGAATATGGTCTCAAGCTGCATCCATTTACTCATAAAAGCCTCAAGTTTATCCTCCTTTATAGCCAATTAGTATTCCATTGTATAAAAATACCACGTATTTTTAGCCATTCTATGGTTGATGGGCATTTGAGTTTTTTTCAGGATTTAGCTGTTACAAACTGTGCTATTATAAACATGGATGTACATGTGTTGCAGAGTTATATATATTTTTAAGCCAGCATCATAATTCCTCATATTTGGGCTTCTGGCCAAGTTTATAGGTTGGCAAATGAGAGTTGCTGAAGAAAGTCACAGCTGTGTGTCCTGGTAGTATCTATAACTGGTCACATTCATTTGCACAGGGACCCATTGTTCTATGTCCTGTTCTCATCAGAGATTTCAGGTATTCATGTTCTGCTCAAACTGCTAGTTCCCCCAACTCCAGCTTTGTTTCTGAAAAGACTATCTTAACTTTCCATCCTATTCCATCCCTTTATGCTGCCTCCGTTACCAGTTGTTTTTTTTGTACTGGGGATTGAACTTATGAATGCAAGGCAGGTGCTTATGATGCTGAACTAAATCCCCAGCCATCTGTTACCAGTTTTTAAAAGTATCTGCACTTAGAATTTTTACTATCCTTTCCTCCCAACTTTGTGACTTATTTCAAGCCAGTTTGTGTTCTAGATTCCTTTCTTTTCTATAGTTTTAGCTCCTACTGGCCATTTTTTGTCAGTATATCAGCTAGCTTATCTATATTTAGTTTAGGAGAAATTTTTTCTCCTCAGTGCTTCCATTTTTTCCTTTTTCTTAATTCCTGCCTCAGCTCATTGTGTCCTGTTCTGGCTTTTGTTTGTTTTTATCATCTTACAGAACTACTCTCCCCAGTGACTGCATTGATTTTAAAGAGAAAATGCTTCTCCATTCTTCCTCGAGTTTTCTGTACCATTTGACAATAAACTGTTTTCTGTCTTCTTTTTACACTTTTTTTTTCTTTTTTTTATTGGTACCGGGGATCGAACTCACGACTACCTGCTTGCAAGGCAGGTGCTTATGCCGCTGAGCTAAATCCCCAGCCCCTCAGCCTCTTGATTACTGAGACTACAGACATGTGCCATCACACCTTCCTTCCCTTCTGCCCTCCATCCCTCCCTCCCCCTTCTCGCATCTTTCCTTCTAACACTCCTCCTTGGTACTGTGGTTCAAACCCAATGCCTCACACAAACAAACTCTCCTAAAGTGTTTTTATGTCCTTGTAGACAGGCACAGTGCCTACTCTTGATACAGATTCAGTTTAATGTTCAAATGAACTAAAACCATAAAAGATTTTGTCACAGATCTGTCACGAGGAGTACTTTTATTGAGACACCCTCATTGAGGACGCTTTATAGCACCAATATGTGTTCCTTGTTCCCTTGAGAACATGGTGTTATTTTTGTGAAGAAATAGAAAGAAGAATAGAGAGGGTCTATGAGCTAGGCAATAGGACTTGAAAATATAATTTGTGTTGCACAAATTAGAGAAAGGTAAGCAGATATAGATACAGAAGTAAGTAGATGGACCAGAGGAACTAATAAACTCTTTTTTTCCAAGGAGTAGGCAATCAGAAGATAGGATAATCCTATGGTTAGCTGTTGCGGTTCTTCACCAAGAATAATGAAATCGTGAGATTCCCCCCCAAAATTCCCAATAATTCTTAGAGCTTAGATCATTTTTTTCTTCTGTTAGGTGCTTCAAAGCTTCAAGATAATGGACTATAGTCTCTTGATGTCAATCCACAACATAGATCACGCACAACGAGAGCCCTTAAACAATGAAACACAATACACAGTTGATACGCGTAGACCAACCTCCCAGAAGGCACTGTATTCCACAGCCATGGAATCCATCCAAGGCGAGGCTCGACGTGGTGGCACCATGGAGACTGATGACCAGTGAGTGGGTTTGGGGCATTGGGGAGGTGAGCAGATGTGTAACACTTTTTCTTACAGAAAGAATCTAATTTGTGGAAAGGAAGTAGCTTTGAGGCAGCAGTTAAGCCAGCAACAAAAATTCTTGTAGAACCATCAAATGAGTTTTCTTAAGAGTATAAAAGGCTTTAATTTGGAGATTTTAATAAATTTGGGAACAGAGCTATCCAGGGTGAAAAGACTTAAAATTATTACATTCAAAATGTTAGGTGTGTGTCTGTTAATTATAACTATCACAATTCATTAAAGACTTCTTTGTGGAACATACCTTTCTTACCGTCATTGAGTTTAATCAGTTTAGTTTCTGAAATACCCTGTCTGTTGGGTGGTTTCATTTTTAGGTATTCCATAGCATGACTTTAAAGAAGAATGTCTTTCGTAGGCAATAAGGTATAGAACTTTGAGAACATTCAGAGTTAATTGTGGGAGGCCATCATATTGCTATTAATTATTAGAGTCTTTTTGTTTGTTTGTTTTGGTGAAGCTGGGGTAGGAATGGTAGGCCAGGAGGTTAAACAGGAGATTATAGTGCATATCCTAGAGATTCTTATGGTTGGAGGAAGGAATCTCACAGTCTTGAGGTTTATAGAAGATAAGTCAGTTATATTTAGATACCAGTTCCATCCTGATTTGACTTAAGGTTAGAAGAGAAGCTCCTACCTTCTAGCTAACAGGTTTCCTAATTCTTTCCTTTTTGTTTTTCCCAGCATGGGTGGCATCCCTGCACGCAATAGTAAAGGGGAAAGGCTCCTGCTTTATGTTGGCATCATTGATATTCTGCAGTCGTACAGGTGAGGAGCATAGAAACCGATGCAGAAGCCACTCACATTACTTTGTTAGATGAGTCTGTTAAGTTTTTCCTCAGAACAGTAAGTTGCATTCATTTTGTGTGTGTGTGTGCGCGCGCCGGGGATTGAACTCAGGACCTTGCACTTGCAAGCAGGTGCTTATGCTGCTGAGCTAACTCCCCAGCTGATTTTTTTTTTTTTTAAGATGGTTGGATAGTTGGCCTCTTTCTGTGGATTTCCTACTCTACTGCTTCCCCACTGATGATAGAGACTTCTAAGGAAGGCTGAGTCAATGTTTGGAAGTACCAGGGTAGAACATACCATCTGCTTTGCTCTTTGTGAAAACCCTGTGAAATGAGTCATTCTCCACCCTGGGATGAAGCTGGAAGCATATGACCTTTTCCACAGAGGAACAACTTCTGTCAAAATTGTTGCCCAAGAGGCCGAGAGGCAGGAACGGTGCTGAGAGAGAAGCAGGACTTGTTTTTTGTTTTTTGTTTTTGTTTTGAGACCGGGTCTCACTGTGCAGTTAGGGCCTTGAGCTCACTTTGTCGCCCAGGCTGGTCTTGAATTTGCAAGGATTCTCCCACTTTAGCCTCCCAAGTGCTGGGATTATGGGCGTGCATCACCGCACCTAGCTAGGATTTGTTAGATCACAGTTTTGTTCCTGTATCCTTTCAGTACTAATGAGAACTAGACAGTACTTGATTTATTGATTCAGTGTTATCAAGTTTTTAAAATGAATTAAAATTTATTTTTGGATTTTTTTGAGTCAGGGTTTCACTGGTAATTCAGGCTAGTTTCAAACCTGTGGTGATTCTCCTTCTTCAACCTCTCCAGTGCAGTGTCCAAACTATAGTTATATGCTAGCAGTCCTGGCAGCTTATCTAATTTTAGCTACCCTTTCAGGCTCTTGCACATCTGTTTCTTCAGCTCACCTTGTTTTTTTTTAGTGTTTATATTTATTCATTTTTGTTTCACATTTGGTAATGGAATTTAGGGCTCACATATGCTAGCCAAGTGCTTTACCATTGAACTGTACTCCTACCCCTTTTTACTTTTTGTTTTGAGACAGGGTTTCACTAAAGTTGCCTAAATTGCCTCAAACTTGCTATCTTCCTACATCAGTTTCCCAGGTAGTTGGGTTGCAGGTGTGGGCCATTGTGCCTCATTTCTACAATTAATATACTTGTCTCTCACTTGCCAGGGACATATAAACTACTATTTTTTTATCGGTACTGGGGATCGAACTGACAACCACCTGTTTCCAAACAGGTTCTTACGCCACTGAGCTAAATCCCCAGCCCCTAACCTATTTTTTTTTTTTTTTTTTTTTTTTTTTTGTCATTTTCTTTTTTATTGGTACCAGGGATCGAACTCACGACCACACACTTGCAAGGCAGGCGCTTATGCTGCTGAACTAAACCCCCAGCCCGTAAACTACTTTTTTTTTTTTTTTTTTTGCAGTACTGGGGATTGAACTCACAACCTCGCGCTTGCCAGGCAGGCACTTATGCCACTGAGCTAAATCCCCAGCCCTAAACTACTATTTTTTTAATGAGGAATAATTGACTTAGGTAGAAACAGCATTTGTCTGCATGCTGAACTAGCACTGCAGTAGCTGTGTGTATACCACACTGTGTTTTTTCTAGCCTTTAATTTTCATTTTTTTGGGTGTGTGAGGTTGAGGCAGCGTCTCACTACATAGTCCAGGCTAGTTTTGAATTCATTATATAGGGGAGGCTGGCCTCAAACTCCCAGTGAGCCTCCTGGTTTAACCTCCCAGTGCTAGGATTATAGGTGCAGACCACCACATTTGGCTGCTTTTTTAGGCTTTTCAGTATCTTCATTCAATAACAGTGTATGTGATACAAAATTTTTTGGCAGGTTTGTTAAGAAGTTGGAGCACTCTTGGAAAGCACTGGTACATGATGGGGTGAGTAGTAGTCATCTAAAGACCTCCCACTTCTGCCTCTCACTTCTAATTTGCCCCACACCAGTTTCTCTGCATTTTAAAATTTCATTTCTGAGTTTCACCCTTCTCTAAGATCTTTGTCTAGGGGAAAATGACCCTCAGACTATAGATCGTCTTGCTGGGCTGCTCCTTCTCTAATTGTATAGCCTTTTCTTCTGCTCTGCAGGACACTGTATCAGTGCATCGTCCAGGCTTCTATGCTGAACGATTCCAGCGCTTCATGTGCAACACAGTGTTCAAGAAGATCCCCCGTAAGTGGCTTCTACCAGATGGCCCCCCAGTGGCTCCCTTACCTCAGCAGATGGGGGGCAGGACACCTCTGTCAGGGAGCTGCAAAAGCCAGAGACCTCTTCTGCTCTGTCTGCACCCTGTGAGAGCTGCTTCTCGTCCTTTTGTCAGTTACTTTGTCTGTCCCAGTCGTTTCCATCCAAGTCGCTGCTTACCCCCTGGCTCTCCCTACATGTATTATTGAGGTGAGGGCCATTTTTGGGAAATTGGTGGGATTGAAAAAAAAAAAAAAGTGTCATTGTGAATGTGGAATCTATGCCACATGGTTAGGTAGACCATATACAGAAGGATGTTATCAATGTCTTTTTTTTTTTTTTTTTTTTTTTTTTTTTTAATGCCTGTCTCAGGTACCAACAAAGTTTGCATCACTAATGTCTGTTTACTGAGTTTTCTTAGTCTATTCCTTCAACTTCCTTGGTCTGAAAGTGCCAGTATTCTTTTCTTTTTCAAATTCTCCATGCTATTACCACTGGCAAATTCTAGTTTTTCCTTCTCTCTCCTATCATGGACATCATTAGTCCCATAGTGAGGCAGAAGAAACCTAGGTGTGCCAAACAGTCTTAAGGAGCATGAAAAAATCCTTCTTTGTTTTTGTTGTTGTTTTTCTTGAGATAGAGTCTTGCTGTGTACAGGTGGGCCTTGAACTCATGATGATCCTCCTTCTTGTCTCAGCTGGGGTTATAGGCATGCACCATCACACCTAGTCCTTTTCTGTTTCTATCTATAATAATGAAAATTACATAGCTGTGTTCATCAGTGTTTAAAAGATGTAGACTGAAAGGGTCATCGTTATGTTATACTGGGAATTATGGAATAGAGGGCATCTCAGGTAGAGGCAAAGCCATTAAGATTGCATTGGGGGTTGGAGGGTGGTATATGTACATGTCATTTTTGCTCAAGGCTTTCTGTTTCTTTCTGAAGTGAAGAGAGACCTTCCTTCTAAATAATACTTGGTAGACCCATCTTTGTGACATTGTCCCGTCTTCCTGCTTTGCTTCAGAATACCTGGGTGTGTATTGGGGATAACTAGCAGTTTGTGTCTATGTCTTGGTGATGGTTTCTGAGGTTGGTGCTAAGTAGGCTCTCTTTCCCTTTTGAAGTGAAGCCCTCTCCTTCCAAAAAGTTTCGGTCTGGTTCATCTTTCTCTCGGCGAGCAGGCTCCAGCGGCAACTCCTGCATTACTTACCAGCCCTCGGTCTCTGGGGAGCACAGAGCACAAGTGACAACAAAGGCCGAAGTGGAGCCAGGTCAGCGCCAGGGCGACAGTGCCCATGTTGTGGTTTTGTTCCCTCTGTTCTGAGTCATTATCTTGTCTAGCCAGGACCTCTGCTCCCCATTTCTGTCCAGGAAAATCTAAGTTGCTACATGTTAAAAAGACAAAAAAACAAACTAAAACATATTTCCCTCATTAATTCCTTTGCGCATTACCTCTTTTATTTTATTTATTGATTTTCTTACCTTTTCTCTTTTCCAGAAGTCCACCTTGGGCGTCCAGATGTTTTACCCCAGACTCTACCTGTGGAGGAGGTCAGAGAGGACTTACTTGTTTCTGACCCTAGTTTCTCACATGTAGTTGGAGAGACTTTGCAAGTACTAAATACCAGGTTGGTTTCTTGACCTCTTTTACCATGTAATCATATTTTTTTTTTTTTTTGTTAGTGCTAGAGATCAAACTCCCAGCAAGTAAGTCTCCTGCTATTGTGTTATATCTGCAGCCCTTTTTATTTTGAGGGTCTTCTGAGTTGCTAGACTAACCTCAAACTTGGAAACCTTCTGCCTCGGCCTGGAAAGTAGCTGGAATTTACCCTCATACCTGACCCAAGTCCTACATCATTCTGTTTTCCATTGCATCATTATTTGTTTTCTTTACTGACTTTGTGCAGGTTCATTGGGAACTCATCTTTAGTTACTTGCAAAGTGTATCCATGCCTTTATGCTTTTAGGGATAATGTTTATGCAGATGGTATGGTATTCAGGTGTCTCAATTAATCCTTCATCTTTTGGTGAACCCCATGACTTCCTTATAGGAAAGCTCAGAAAATAACAGCTGGCTTAAGGAAGGAAAGGTGTAGCAACCAGCTATAACTCTAGATGTTCCTGGTGGGAAGGACAGTAATAGGATGAAAAAACAAACAAGAGCAAAGCTGAGGTCAGGTGGAGCCCTCTCCCCTGATGGGAGAAAAAGGACTGCTTAATTACTGTAGCATCTTTATTTATACACTCAAGAGAATGTTGTAGGTTTCAGTCCCTCTGCCTAGCAACTTGTTTGTCTGGTTGGCCTGGGCCACTTCCCTTCTTGGAGCTGGAACAGCTTCTTTATTTGCTTGCTTTGGACTCTGTGTTTTCCAGGCTGTCTTTTAGCTTCACCCCTGTCATCAATCTCTAGTTTTAGCTACCTACAGAAAGGTTTATTTAGCTGATAGGTTGTGAGGTTTCAGTCCCTAATCAGCTTGCTCCAAGGCAGGGTGGCACATGGCACAGGGCAAAAGCCGAAACAGAAAAAGGTGGGAGCAAATGTGAACAGGCTGCAGGTGTAACACACACATCACCTCTGTGCCCTCTTGCACAGGATGAGGATGTTTACAAAGTAAGAACCCTGGCTTCTTAGGGATTGTTTAGTTAAACTTCCAAACTCCTCAAATTGACACAGTGTATAAACCATTATATACTGTGAGAAAGAGAATGTGACTAAACAAGAATCACAATCTTTTTGTAACCTAATCTTAGAATTGATACCTACTCATTCATCAATTTCACAAATTTGTAATCACACACACACACACACACACACACACCCCATAGGGATACCTTGTCACACACACACACACACACACACACACACACACACACACACACGGAATGACATGAGATTTCCATACCAGAAGCTGGATCATTGGGAGCCATTTTAGAATCTGCCTGGAGAACTCACATATCCTCTCGCAAAGTCTGCGGAGTGTCACTGAATAATCGTGGGGCTCAATGGCCCACATTTTGTTACCTAAATCAGGTCCAAGTTTCAATAAACTCTCCATGTAGAGTTCCTTAAGCACAGCTCCTCTCAGAGAGCTCAAGAAACTAAAAAGAGAAGTTTCCGTTCCCCTCGCACACTGGGCATGCAATATGGTAGGACAAGCATTTGGTTTTTCATTTTGTTTTGTTTTGGTTTTTTGGTACTGGGGATTGAACTCTTTAAGTGTCAAGAACCCAGCCAAGAGTCCCGATTATCAGTCCCAAGAATGTTGCAAGAAAAATAAAATAGAGACAAGTAGTGTATTCCAACAATAGCTGGGAAATCAATGTCTCTAGATCTGCCTTCCTCTACTGCCAAAACAGCCACTATTTGTTTAGTCTATACAGTGATAGGTGGGGCTAGCAAAGGATTACAGTTCTTCCAAAGGCTCTGACTCCAGAGGGCGTAGACAATCTTGTGTTTGAAGTATCTTGGCCATCTGTGATGGTTTTAGAAGGTGTAGGTGCCCGGGATTTAGCATGGTGGTGTAAGTGCCTGCCTGGCAAGAGTGAGGTTGCGAGTTTGATCTCCAGTACCAAAAAAAAAAAAAAAAAAGGTGTAAACAATCTTACGCTTAGAAGTATTTTGTCCTTGGGTATAATCTTCAGATGACTTAAGAAGGCATAGGTATGATCTTATGCTTGGAAGAGTCAATGGGAAATCACAGATGGGTGGTGTCAACAATCTCATTCCTTTCTTTCCTTGCACAGGGAAATACACCAAGACCAGTCACTATGAATTTGTGGTCCCCAGCACTTTTAAGGACACCATGATCACCATGGTGTGCCTTCATGTACTGAAGAGAAAATGAGAAGTGGCAATGCCACCAATAATAGGATCCTTGCCTGGCATGAGGAAACCTTGGGTTATTCCTAGCACTACTAGAAAAAGGGAGAAACATGAAAAGATTCATTGGTTTTGTTTTTAGTGGTACTAGGATTGAATCAAGAGCCTTCCCATTGAGTTAGACCCTTAACCTGGTTTTGTGTTGGTGGTAATATTTTGTTTCATTCTGTTGTGGTTTTTTGAGACAGTTTCTCACTATGTAGCTCAGGCCTGCCTTGAATTTTAACTGTGTATCCAGGCTGGTTTCAACTCCCAGCAAACCTCTTGCCTCAGCCTTCTGAGTGCTGGGATTGCAGGCATGCTCTACCACACCCAGACACTTTTATTTTTCTTTTTGAGGCAAAGACTCCCTAAATTGCTCAGGTTGGATTTTAATTTGTGGTCTTTCTGCCTCAGTGTCTCAGAATGTTGAGATCATAGGCATGTGCCACCACATTCGGCTAATAGTTACTGATTCATTGGCTATCCCACAACCCAGGAAGTGAAGTTTCTTTGATTAAATCCTAAAATATGAGAACAGTTTTTCATGGTTCTTAGCTTTACCTTTGGAACTCTGGATTTTGTGTTGTTTTACTTTTTAGTGAAAACTAGAATGTGTTTACATTTAAGCATTTTTCACAGCCTGCTTCTTTTCAATACAGTTTGTCAAGGGCAGTGGGTTTCGTGGGTTCTTCATTTTATAGTCTCTGTCTCTTTTGACCCAAACCAGTAGGTTTTTTTTTTTTTTTTGCTGATACAATTTCCTTAGCTTACGCCAATGAGCTAAAATCTCCAGCCCCCATAAATGTCTTCTTAATAAGCTCTCCTCTTTTTTTATACCGTGGATTGAACTCATGACTTTGTTTTTGCCAGTCAGGTGTTTATGCCACTGAGCTAAGTCCCTAGCCCTGCCCCCCCCCCCCTTTTTTTGGCCTTTTTGAGATAGGGTCTCGCTATGCAGTTCAAGTTGGTCTCAAACTCACAACAATCCTCCTGCATCAGCCTCTCGAGTGTTGGGATTACAGGCATACACCACCATGCCTGGCCTGACTCCTACTTTTTATATACCCTGCTTTTTCAGTTGAGAGGCTTTGTGAGAACATATCCATGATCTTTCTGTTCACTTTTTTTTTTTTTTCCATGATCTTCCTGTTCACTTTTGCAGTGCTGGTAAATGGTCTTATACATGCTAGGCAAGTATTATATCAATGAGCTACTCTCTCAGCCCTTTTTAATTTGTTTTTATTTTAAGAATTTATATATATATATATATTTTTTGGTCTTTTTCCTTTTTATCGGTACCGGGGATTGAACTCACGACTGCCTGCTTGCAAGGCAGGCGCTTATGCCGCTGAGATAAATCCCCAGCCCGTACGCTGCCCTTTTTAGGTCTCAAGATGTTACTTGCTGAAGTGTCCAGACTAGGCTCAAAATCAAAATTGCCTCAGCTCCCTAGAATGCTTGGATTCACAGATACGTGCCACCATGCTCAGGCCTTTTTTTTTTTTGAGGTCTTATAGTTAATACCCTTGACTTTATCTTTAGACACTATTTTCTTGACAGTGCCATGGATTTGATCCTTGCTCAAGATTTTTCAGTTTTGGGGGCTGGGGATTTAGCTCAGCGGCATAAGCCCTGTCTTGCAAGCCTGTGGTTGTGGGTTTGATTCCCGGTACCGATTAAAAGAAAAAAAAGTTAAAAAAAAAAAAAAAAGATTTTTCAGTTTTTTTAGGGCTGGAGATTTAGTTTAGCCTAGTAAGTGCCTGCCTTGCAAGTGTGAGGTATGAATTTGATCCCCGGTACCAAAAAAAAAAAGACTTCAAATTTTTAAAAATAGATTTATTAGTTTTGGGTGAGTTTTGTTTGTTTTTTTGAGAAAGAGTCTTACTGTCTAAGTTGGCCCAGCCTTGAACTGACTAGTAGTCCACACAGGCATCAAATTCATAGCAATCCTCTTGCTTCAGACTCACCAGTGCTAGGATTACAGGTGAGTGCCACCAAACCAGCCTATTTTTTCATTTTTAAGGTCATTGTGGTGTTGCACACCTGTAATCCAGGCAGTCTAGGAGGCTGACGCAGGAGGATCACTATTTTGAGCCCTACTTGAATATATACCTTAATCATTTCATGAGACCCTGTCCCAAGAAAAGAAAAAAGACTGCTGAAGAAGTAGCTCATTGCAGTGGCCCTGGGTTTAATTCCCAGTACTTTAAAAAAAAAAAAGTTAGTTTAAGCATTGATTGTTCTCTAGAGTTCAAATTTTTTTTTTATTTAAGGAGAAAAGAAAAAAAAGCAGTGAAAGGGTACAAGTTATACAGATTTACAGAAGAAAAAAATGAACAGTAGGAAATCATTAGTTAATGGATTACATATTGCCATCTTAGAAATAATTGTTCAAGTCACAAGATTAAAGCTTGTAGAGTGGACATTCCAACAATGATACTGCAAACAGTTCTGTTCAATGATCCAATAAAACTCTGTGATATCATTTTCTATCTTATACACTTAAATATACATGCAGTTATATAGTTTAGAGCGCTTTCTTTTCCTCTCTTTTGTGCAATGACTATTACACATTTTGGGTTTCATTGCTCCCACGGTTCTTATTGCTTTTTTGGAAGAGAGTAAAACCAAATGAGACATAACAGAATCGGTCAAGTCAAAAGGGTGGACATAATAGATAATATAAAAACATAATACAAGGTGATCAACAATGGTTACCATAATGCCTCCCGCTATCTCTAATAGAATTGCCTATATCATTAGTTATAATACAATTGAACAAAACAGTAAAGAACAAAACCGACAAAACCAAAACAACGGAGACATTGTAGGTCTTCAAAAGTAGATAAAAGTCAACGAGAATGGGCGTCATAATGAATCTCGTTATCTTCACAGCTAGACTTTCGAACCTGATACTATCCAGCAAAACAGAATAGGGGAACATCAGTCAAAAACAAGATGGTGAGAGTAATACAGGGCTTCAAATCAAGATAATAGAAAGTCAAAGTGGGTTACTATATTATATCCTGCTATTTTTTTCCCTTTAATTAAACGGATAAAAATAAAAAAGTAAATAATGGAGTGGAGATTGAGAAAAAAGAGGGCATAACAGCGAAACAGCGCAGATCAAAACATAACCATTTAAGCAGAATAGTGTTTCACCACCAGATAATTCCGACCCAAAAGTAGTTACCATATTAACTCTTTCCTTGAAGTCCTTGAGTACAACTTCGTATACTGTAGCATTAAGTATATCAAAACAATGTAAAACCATTTAAGAGAATGACAGCATTACAGAGTATTTAGAATCGACTAACAGAAAATGAACAATGGTTTCTGTATAATCTCCTTGTCTTTAAAAGGTTTTTGCTTATACTATCGTACATAATAAAATCCAATAAGATACAACCTGTTTAGACCATTGGAGACAGAAGAACAAAGCTAGATGAGACTTCAAAACAAGATGATACTAAATCAGTATTACCTATTAAGATGTCATTTTCTCCAAAATAGCTGTTCCTATCATTAGAGTTCAAATTTTTGGTACTGGGGATCAAACTCATGACCTGCACTTGGCCAGGCAGGCACTTGTGCCACTGAGCTAAACTCTGGCCCCTGAAGTTCAAAATTTTTGAGATAGAGTTTCACCAGTTTCTCTCGATTGCCCTGAAACTTGGAATTCTCCTGCCTCAGCGTTCCAAGTAGCTGGAATTGCAGCTGTATGTCTGACCATGGCTGTCCCTTTAAAATTTTACAATTTATCTTTTTTTATCTTATTTCTAATTTTGTTGTGGTTTTATTTGTTTGTTTTTGAACCAAGGTCTTACTCTGTAGTCAAGATTGTCCTTGAACTTGCCATGTAATCAAGGCTGAGTAGAAGCTTATGATCATCCTGCCTCAGCCTTCCAAATTCTGAAATTACAAATTTGAGACACCATGCCTTGCTTTAAAAATCCAGAGTATAAGGGGCTGGGGATTTAGCTCTGCGGCATAAGCACCTGCCTTGCAAGCAGACAGTCGTGAGTTCGATCCCCGGTACCGATAAAAAGGAAAAAGACAAAAAAATCCAGAGTATATGCCTAATAAATTGAGTGATCTAGCTAAGGAGGTTTCTGAGTATTGTAGATACCATCTTTTTTTTTTTTTGGTGGTGGTTCTGAGGACAGACCCCAGAACTTCACACAAACTAAACATATGTTCTATACCAGCTGTATCACTGCTTTGAAGTGTATAGTAAAATGAGAAGGAAAACAAAGAGAAGAAATATAAAAAGCCAGGAATTGAGAAAAATTTTTTATGGGGTATAGCTCAGTAGCAGAGTGCTTGTGTGCTCAGAATACTCAAGGCCTTGAATTTCATCCTTGGTGCTGTAAAAGAAAGAAAGAGAGAGAACATTTTTTAAATCTAGTAGCTTCTTTTTTCTGAATTCTGAATTGATTCTGAAGGGAAATAGGAAGAAACAATATAAGATTGCACCTTACAGGGAAGTGTTTTTTTTTTTTTTTTCTTCTAATCTTCTGATTCTTTGCTTCTTTTTTTTTCTCCTTTTAGTTCAGCCTTGGAAAAGCTTGAAATTACAGAAGAGGAGTTCCCCCACGTAAGTGTCTGGGGTGTGGGGGAGGGGAAGAGTTTTTGGAGAGTATGAAGAAAATCACTGACAGAATGGAGCTAGAAGTTAGTGGGAGGGAGTTTTAAGAAAAAAAAAAAAAAAAAAGTAATGGACAAAGTTAAGAGAGCCAGAGTGCCCCTACAACTTGTTTTTTATGAATTTTATTTTGGTAACGCACCTTTGTAAAATGAGGAGAAACAGACACCAGGAATATAGCTCAGCAGCACAGGCCCTCCCTGGCAAGTGTGAGGTCATGAATTTGATTCCTGGTACCAAAAAGAAAAAAACAGGCCCGGGGATTAAGCTCAGTGGCATAAGCACCTGCCTGGTCAGCGTGAAGTCGTGAGTTCAATCCCCGGTTCTGTGGAAAAAAAACCCAGAAGAAGGTATCTTAACTTTGCTACCTAGGTTTAAATTAACTTGAATTCCATTGCTACTTCCTAATCTTATGCTCCATATCCTTAACTTTACATACTTTCCCTTTTCAGTGAGCAACAAACCTCAGAAGACCTGAAACAAGATCCTACTGTCTCTGTGATATCAAAATGTCAGCCTTTGCCCAGGAATGCTGTTTTCTTATTGGTCATCAAAAACAAACAAAAAAGGAGTTTAATGTGGAGCTCGGGGAGTTTTCCATCTCCTTCATGAAGAAGAAGTTGTTCTTCCCCATCTTCTGAGTGGGCATTAGTGCCTTGGACAGTTAAGGATGCAGTAGCCTTCCACTCCAGAGTCAGCTGGTACAGGCCAGCCTTGGCTTCCAAAGTTGAATTTCTTCAGACTCCCATTGTTGTGCTGGAATTGGAGTTGTTGGACTTCGTGGTTTTCCTTCCTTTGTGCATCTTTCACCAGGAGCTGGACTCTTCATTTCCTCAGGACAGACTGGCTGGCACACGATCCCCTACCTTCGTCTTTCTGTTTTCTAGAGGAAGACCCCTAGAATTGTTGTAAAGGGTTTTGGGGGAATAAGGGTATTTAACTATCTCCATCCGTCTCCTTTTTTCTTTATAAAGGATGAGAACAAAGAGCACACAGCACAATTTCAAGCCAGTTTAGATCAGAACTCCAAAAGTCAGTAATAACCTGCCTGTGAAGTTCCTACAGATGAGGCCGGAGTTTGTGAAGCAGAAACGTGACAATTCTTCTGCCAGCAGCAGCCTCTTTTCAAGAATCTCATGAAATTCTTAAGGCTGAAGGGATGAGAAGAAAGGGACATTGAGTCATCTTTGCCCCTTTTGTTAAAACGGTGGGGCTGCTATGGGCTAGGAAATTAGAGGCGTCCTTAGGCAGGACCCCACTCACTGCCAGGCCATAATGTTTACTAATACTTGGTAGTTTGAAATGTATTTTAGTCATTTTTCTAAATAAGAAGATTTATCAAATGGATTGGAGACCATTCTTCAAAGGAGACTGCTTATTCTTCCAATCTTTCCAAACAGTGTTCTGCTATCTGTGGAGCTGAGATGGACAGCGATACCTGTGTCTGTTGAACAGGCAGTCAGGCAAGAGAAGGTTCTCTTCAGCTCAAGGGAGCCAGCAGACCGTTGCCTTGATGACGTCAGGGCTGTGCCCACGCCCTGCTCCTGCTCTTTCAGTGCAGGGAATTTGGAGTGGGGGCTGTAAACCGTCTCTTCCCCATCTCTGAATTGTGGATGTCTGAGCAGTCTGCTCTTGTCAGGGAAGAAGGCTGCTTGGTGTCTGAGGCAGATTGTCGAAGTTCTACAGTCTTCTTCACCCCACCCTACCATGGCAGTAGGTTAGCCTTGTACCCCAAGCATCTGTCTATATTAGACACCCCCGGCCAGTTTCTGGCTCCCTGTCTTTGCTGCCATGTTCTTTTTTACAAGAAGAAAAGCAACAATTCTTGCTATTTTGTTTTTCATAATTTACTATTTATGATGTATTTAAGTGTTTTATTCAGGACAGAGTTCTGTAAGGGGTGGGAAGGATATTTGAGGGGGAGGGTCTTAGGGAAAGGAATGGGGATGCAGCATTTTTATGAAGTGTTACTATTTGCCTCTACTTTGTATTGTTCAGAAATGGCAAATGCAATTTAAAAGTAATAAATAACTGGTTTTAATGTATTGAACTTTCGTCTGTTATTTAGACTTCTTTTTCTCTTCTTTGTTGTTACTCTTTTTGCCGTTGTCTTTGGTACTGGGGATTAAACCCAGGGACTTGAACATGCTAAGCAAGTGCTTCACACCTGCCGCCTCTCCCTGTTCATATCCGTCTGCCTCGCTGTCTCCCACCCAGGCTCAGTGTTGTGCATATTTTCATACTTCCAGTTTCCCTTACTCCAGCTTCAGTCTAACTCCGGTTTTCTGTGCCTGCTTTCCAGCCACTTCGCCACAGTAAAAACAGGAATCTTAATTGAAAGCTCATAGAGTTTACTTCTCTCATAGAGTTACTTCTCATAGAGTTACTCTCATAGAGTTACTTCTTAAACATAGAGTTTAAGAAGAAAACACAGGAAAGCCAGCTCAATATTGGTGGCCATAAGTTCTCTGCTTTTTATTCTTCTGGGTGCATGGCTGTCAGATTATCACTAAATCATGAAGACTTCTTTCCTCAAGGTTGAGTGTAGGAGAGTAGAAGAGTGAGATGGGTTTATTTCTAAGTAGGGAAACTTTAGAAAAGCAAGTTCACTAAATACTGTTTCTTTCTGAACCACTGTTCCCTGTGCTGATGAGATAATTTTTTTTCAAGTATTTATGTAGCAGCAATGTCCAGGGCAATTGGAGGTCAAAAAAATTAATTAGCTTCAGAGTTCATAATGTCCAGGGGGAAACACATACCCAAAAACATTAGGAAAAATTAGATGTGATATGGCTGGGGATATAATTCAGCATAGCGCCTGTCAGCAAGAGCAAAGTCTTTGGTTCAGTTCTCAATACAAAAAAAAAAAACCTAAGGATTGATGCTCTTTGAAAGGATGATACAATATATAAAAGTGAAAGGAAGTCAGAGGTTACTGTAGGCTAAAAGTGTTGGGAAAAGTTTCATTTCAGCACAAGGTCTTAAGACCATGAAAATGGTCTGTTTTAGAGAACTGGAAAAGATGGTGGTAAGCATATTGGACGAGGTATGGGTGGAAGCAACATCAGAAACAGCTTGTAGGCTAAGAAATTTTCAGGTTAAACTGTGGACAGTGGAGAATCATGGAATCTTTTTAAAAATGATAAAATAGTTCAGGGCTGCTAGTGTAGTTTGGAAGTGTTTGCTTCATGTGTGAGGTGTTGAATTTGATCCTGCAGAACTGGAAAAAACAGTCTGTTAACAGTGTTTCATCAGAATGGATTTTTGAGGTGTGACGACGTGGATTGGGAACAGTGGTCATGGCAATTGGGAGAGAGCATAAAGTGCTTCAGAGAAAAACAACCTTGTGTGAAAAAGATTGGATTGGAAGAGGAACTGAAGAGACTCAGTTTTGATTTGGACTTCACCACAGGCTCAGCCCTCTGTTTTGTTTCTTTGTTTTGTCTTTGTTTTTTGAGGTAAGTTCTCACCACATAGACTGGGCTGGACTCAAATTCCTACCTCAGCAGCCTGCTGGGATTACAGGCATGCAGTGCTGTGCCTGCCTGTTTATCCTTCACTGAGGCTCGATAAGAGAAAACGTTTTTCCCCAATAGAAATTAGATCTGAATGTGTTTAAGCCCAAATGGTCGTTGCTACCCCTTGGGGGCATTACAACTGCCAAAGCTTAGATTAAATCTCTTCGCAGTCAAAGGGTCCCTCTAGTGGTGGGTGGCAGCAAGTGTACAGTCCACTAGATTTAGATACAAAGGGATAATGAAGTTAACTGCGTCTGGTCTGATTTTTTTAAAATTAGGTTTATTGATACATTTTAGGTACGCATGTAATGATGTAATGTTTTAAGCACATCACTCAGTTATTCAAAAACATTCAAGTAGTCAGATCATTCTTTAAACAAAGATAGGCCAGTTGAAATAGAGTCCAGACTAAGCAGTTAATACATTGTTTTTCAAGGACATTAAAAATCAGGTAATTATCAAATCTTTCAAAATTATTTTAAAATTCGTGACGAGCATGGTGGCCCACACCTGTAGTCCTAGCTCTGAGGCTGAGGCTGGAGGAATGTTGTGAGTTTGAGACCAGCCTGAACTACCTAATGAGAAGGTTTTTGGTTTTTTGTTTCTTTGTTTTGTCTTTTTGAGACAGGGTTTCACTATGTAGTTTAGATTGGCCTTAAACTCACTTCATACCCGAGTGCTGCGATTACAGGCATGCACTCTAAAAAATTATAAAGGATATGTTTGCTGATTCCAGTTTCTCGTCTCCCCATCTCCAACTCCAGCTTTTTTTTTTTTTCTTTTTTATTAAAAAAATATTTTTTTGAGACAATCTCCCTGGTAGTCTTGGCTGGCCGTGACCGTCAGTGATCCTCTGGTGTCAGTTCCTGAGAGCTGGGATTGCAGGTGTGTGCTCTAAAAAACTCAGGTTTGGGGGCTGGGGATTTAGCTCAGCGGCATAAGCAACTGCTTTGCAAAGCAGGTGGTCCTGAGTTCCATCCTCCGTACCGATTTAAAAAAAAAAAAACAAAAAACAAAAAAACTCAGGTTTTGGGTCGGGGCTTTAGACCAACAGTGCAAGTACTTGCATGTCAAGTAGTGCACGACCAAGTATCCAAACAAACATATTTTGTTTTTAATGGTGGAAATTTTCAAAACCAAAGAATAGTATGATGAACTGCCATTACCCTTCAACATCTATTAACAAAAATACTGTCAATGTTTCATCTATACTTTATAGTCTCCCCTCACTTTCTCTCTGTACCTCCAAAGGATTAAGTTAAATTCTAGGCATCATATCCTCTTGTCCACAAATACTTGAACATATGATTTAAGAGATAAGGTCAACGCCTCCCCCATCCTGCCCACACAATGCTGAGGACCAAGAACTCAGTGCCTGTGCATGCTGGGCAAGTGCTCTTCCACTAAGTCACTTCCAGTCCTCGCACACATAAACATACACACAATATAATACTATTCTCAGCCTAAAAATTAACTCCTCAATATCAGGTGTTCAGTCAGTGGTTCAAAGCTGACAAACTGTCTTACAAATAGGTTTTTGCTTTCCTTTTGTGGCGCTGATTATTGAACCCAGGAGCTCGCCAGGCTCTAGGCCTCTTTTAGGGTTGTTACGGTGATAACCCTTTTATCCGCTCACTCTCCCAGGCAGTTTTTTATTTTGTCTGTCGCCTACAACTCCCAGAATGCAATGCGCAGAAAGGAGGCAGGACCAGCGTGCGGAGCCGAGGCCTGTGATTGGTGCTTATTGCCAGACCAATTGGAGGAACTCTTGTTAGGCAGTCACAGAACCGGTCGGGAGAAAGGAAGACTGCAAGATGGTGTTGGAAAGTACTATGGTTTGGTGAGGAACTACTTGGGGCTCGCGAAGAATGGGACTAGTTGAGGGGCTACCCAGAACCAGGCCATCCTTGCCTGGGCTGGGGGCGGAAGGTCGATAGACTAGATGAGGCCTTGGGACCGGGAGGGAGCAGCCGGGTCGACTCCCTGAGTCATCCTGGAGTCCAGCTGAGGACCGGCCCTGGTATCCCCATACCCTTTACCCCGTGGACAGCCATTGAACAGCCCATCCCTGCTGTCTTGTTTTATTATAGCCTGTCTTCTGTAGACCAGCCCCGGATCTATCTTTAACCTGAGTCAGGGACTCAAAATAGATGTTAGGAAGAGAGATTATAAGTTGCCCCATTCTCTGATCTCTAACTCGATTACCTTTGTCTGTATTATTGTCAAAGTTACAGCTTACAAATGGTTTTCTGTATGTCAGGCACTTTACTTACTTTATTTCACCTAAACTTCATTTAAGGTAAATATCTCTCCATATTACAGATGAATGTGACGATTTTAAATGACTTGTCCAGTCACACCGCCGCTTAAGTGGTGGAGGTGGAATTTAAATTCAAGGCTAGCTTGCACAAAGCTTGCTAGCTTGTCCAGTGAGCTAGCTCTCTTCAGGCCCAGATTTGAGCTGAGTTTCTGAGTCTGATTCAAAGCCAAGGACACAAACTTTTGCAGGGTTTCGAGAGCTTTTAAATGAGAGCATAAAAGATAATGCAGTGTAGTACACAGGGTCCGGGATTTATAGCTCGGTGGTACAGTGCCTGCCTGGCAAGTGCGAGGTCCTGAGTTCGATTTCCAGTACAAAAAAAAAAAAAAAGGTTACCCAAACACCATTTAGAAGACACATATACGTAAGAGGCTTCTCCTTTTTGGCGGGGAAGGGATAGCACTCCCTGATAAATACAGGATGCTCAGTTAGATTGGCTTTTCAGGTAAACAATAAATAATCTTAGTATTAAAAAATACAAGTATCTTCTAGGTATTGCACTAAAAAGTTATTTGTCTGAAATTTAGATTTAATTGGGAGTCTTTTTTTTTTTTTTGGTCATTTTGAGACAGGGTCTTGTTTTGCAGTTCAGGTTGGCCTTGAACTTACTTTATAGCCCAGGCTAGCCTTGAACTGGCAGCAGTCTTCCTGTGTTAGCCTTCTGAGTGCTGGGATTACAGGCATGCACCACAACACCTGTCTTGGGAATCATTTTTATTTGCTAAGTCTGGCAACTTCTGGGAGAGAATATGTTAAGGGTAGAAAGAGGACAGGATTTGAAACCCAAAAGAATGTGTTTACTGGTATTCAGCAGTTGTTTGTTCTTGAAAATGTTAGCAAATATATCTATAAATTGGTGATTACAGTAATATATATGTGAAATACACCAGCAAGTTGATGATTATAGTACAAGAAAATATTTGGGGTAGTGTTTTGTAAACACATTGTGTACTGTGTATATGTTAGTGGCCAAGGCACTTGAGAATACTCAATGAAAAAATTGTGAGCCAAATGTGATGGCACACATCTGTAATCCCAGTACTCAGGAGACTGAGGCAGGAGAATTGCCAAGAGTTAGAGGCCAACCTGGGCTACATAATGAGTTCAAGACAGCCTGGACCCCACAGTGAGACCCTGTCTAAAAAACAAAGCAAACAAAAAACTAGTGAGTGGTGGATGACTTTAACCCAGCACACTGGAAAGCTGAGGCAGAAGGATTGCAGGTTCCAGCCCAGCTCAGATTGGGTGATGATTATTGAGACCCTGTCTCAAAAATAAAATTAAAAAAGCCAGGGGATTGAGCCCAGTGCAGAAGCTCCTGAGTTCAATCCCCAGTGCCCCCCGCCATGTGGCATTGTGGCATGAACAGAATGACTTCTGTGTTCCATAGGACTTCCTACTTTTCCAGGATCAGAATTCTGTAGGACAACTTGACTTCCTTAGTCTGTGTTTGATTTACCTTTTAACCTGCTGGCCAAGGAAGTCTAGTCACCTGTAGTTTTTTGTATTTTCCCCCGCTCTCTGTGTTGGGGTTGAACCCAGGGCATCACACATGTTAGACAATGACTCTGCCACTAACCTATATCCTTAGCAACTCCAACCCCTTTTTTAAAAAGAGAGGTCTTACTGTGCTATCTGAAGAGATCCTTCTGGGACAGGAGATGTAGGTGTAGCAGACAACTTGTTCATCATGAATGAAGTGCTCAATTCAATTCCCAGTATCACAAGAGAAAAACCAGAGTCTCCTGTCTCAGCTTCCTAGATTTTTGTTTTGTTTGCGTTACTGAGAATTTTTTTTTTTTAAAGGAATCCTACTGGAATACTACGGTATTTTTTTTTTTTCATTTTTTTTGGTCTTTTTTCGTTTTTATCGGTATCAGGGATCGAACTCATGAGGCCTGCTTGTAAGGCAGGCGCTTATGCCGCTGAGCTAAATCCCCAGCCCCCAATACTACGGTATTTTTAATATTCACTCATATGTGTTTTTTTTGGTCTTTTTCCTTTTTATCAGTACCTGGGATCGAACTCACGACTGCCTGTTTGCAAGGCAGGCGCTTATGCTTCTGAGCTAAATCCCCAGCCCGTGTTAACTGAGAATTGAACCCAGGGTCTTCATCTCCAGCTCTTTGTTTTTTTTTTTTTTTTTTTTGTCTTTTTTGTTTTTATTGGTACCGGGGATCGAACTCAGGACTGCCTGCTTGCAAGGCAGGCGCTTATGCCGCTGAACTAAATCCTCAATCTCTCCAGCTCTTTGTTATTTTGAAGTGTTGAGAGATGTCTTATTAAGTTGCCTAAGCTGCACTTGAACCTGGGAGCCTCCTGCTTTACTAGCTGGGACTACAGGTGTGTGTCATTACAGCCAACTTATTTTCTCCTTTCAAATGAAGACTTCATGGAATGGTTGACAAGTATCCTCAGCCCTTATTTTGATATGTGTATTTAGGGGGGGAATTTGTATACTGTTTTGCAAAAGTTATTGCAGATACATATATTATTCCATTCATAGCAAACTCGATCGGAAAAACTAAAACATATCTTTTAGCGATGCATACTCAGGTGTAAGGCACCGTGTTTCTGCCCTACCAGTACCTGATCCTCATGAGCTATGATTCCTAGAGAGAAAATTGCTGCCATTCTCCACTGTTGGTTCTCTATAGACCTCACAAACACCCTTTCTTACTCAGAACACAATTTTTGTCCACCCTTGGCCATTTGCTGGTTTTGTCCACAGTCCTTAGTCTTAGAGCTGTCTCCTACTCTGCATCTACTCAGTCTTCCTTCTTTGTGTGCTGTATTTGTAAATATGCATCAGTGAAGAAAGTGTCACTTGCATGATACCTCATTTGGGCAGTAGAGTCAACCCTTGACCTCCTTTGTGGTGTTTGTTCAGAGGTATGTGATTGAGGCTTTTACTGTAAGAACTAGTCTATGTTTCATGCTTGTACTGTTAGGTTCTGTACTACTATTTTCTGTTTACTCCTCATCACAACCCTGTAGGAGTGTGTATAACAAAACATACTCTACAGGTAAAGTAACTGAACCTTAGTAAAATTGAGCACCTTCCCTAGGATTATAGCATTAGAAAGTAGCAGGGTGAGAATATGAGCCTGCCTAAACATTGCCCTGTATTCCCTTTTCTGCTTGTTTTCTAGTAGTTTTTTCTTCCTTTTATTTTATTTAGAAAAGATCTTGCTCTGTAATTCGGTTGGCCTCAGCTTCCGAGTTCTGAGATTGCAGGCATATGCCGCCACTCCTGGCATTGAGTAGCTTCTTACATTTCTCTGTTTATCGTTTTTGGTTTGCATTTATTACCAGACAAAGCATTCTGGAAAAAAAATTTTCCCCAAGTTGATGTTTTGCTTGCCAGTAGGAATGAGGTATCTCATTTGGGCACTACTTTTTAAGTGTTTCTAGCACAAGTAAAATCACTGACTGTCAGAGATTTAGAGATCTCAGAGGTCATCAAGAATTGATCCACTGGTACATGCCATAATCCTAGTGCTCTGGGAGACTGAGGCAGGAGGAGCCCAGGTTCGAGCCCCAGCTGGGGCAATTTAGCAAGACTCTACCTCAAAATAAAGAGAGTCTGGGCTTTAGTTTAGTGGGAAAGCCCTGGATTAAATCCTCAGTACTACAGAACCAGCAACAACAAAAAGGAATTGATCCACTACAGAGACTTATGTAACTACTTCAGATGCCTGATTTTTGGTCTCTGGGAAACTGGAACTTATATTTCATATTATCTGGTCTTTTCTAGAATGTGAGAAGTGTCAGGGATGGGACTATAGGTGAGATTCTAAATAGGTGAAACCTTTTTTTTTTTTCCTTTTTGTTACTGGGGCTGAAACCTCACTTTTGTCATTTAGTGCAGCTGCTAAAGCTGTTAATGCATTTAATCAGATTTTTGTTTGTTTTGTTTTGTTTTGTTTTGTTTTGTGACAGGATCTCATTATGCAGTCCAGGGTGGCCTTGAACCTGTGGCAGTGCTCCTCTCTCAGTCTCCCAAGTGGTGGGGTTTATTGTATTGTACTTTCTCGCTCTCAGAGGGTGTTATTTTATATATTTTTTAATCTTTTTGAGACAAGGTCTCACTGTGCAGTTCAAGCTGGCCTTGAGCTCGCTTTGTAGTGCAGGCTGGTCTTGAACTGCCAAGGATTCTCCTGCCTCAGCCTCCTGAGTACTGGGATTACAGGTGTGTGCCACCATGCCCATTTTATCAAAAGCACATACCTATAGTCCTAGTGCTTAGGAGGCTGGGCCTGAAGGATTTTGAGTTAGAGGCTTACATATTGAGACCCTATTTCAAAAAACAAGGGGAAATAAGAAGAATTGAAATGTGTTGGGACTGGGGATTTAGCTCAGCGGCATAAGCACCTGCCTTGCAAGCAGGCAGTCGTGAGTTCTATCACTGGTACTGATAAAAACGAAAAAGACAAAAAAAAAAAAAAGTGTTATGTGCATGTATCAACTTCCCACGATGACTGTAATCATTATGCTGCATATATGCTAATAAAAAGTTAAATCCACGTGTAGTGGCACATCCCTGTAACCCCAGCATGTTTGGAGGCTGAGGCAGGAGGATTACCATAAGTTCAAGACCAGCCTGAACTACACAGCAAGACTCTGTCTCAAAAAAATAAATAAATAAAGTAAAATTCAAAACAAAATAAACAAGGCTTTTGTTCTCTGTATACTGTGTGTAAAATGGTGCAGGTGATGCTATCTTGTACAAAGATATGCCCTGTGCTTTCCCACAGTGTACCTCGTACAAAAGGTGCTTAACAGGGCCCTGGAACTGGAAAGGAAGGACCAAAAGAAAACTGGAAAGGGTGTCAGGGAGACCCTACATTTCTCTTTGCTCCACCCCTGTCTTGACAGTGTGGACAACAGTGAATATATGCGCAATGGTGACTTCCTACCCACTCGGCTGCAGGCCCAGCAGGATGCTGTCAACATAGTGTGTCACTCAAAGACCCGCAGCAACCCTGAGAACAACGTGGGCCTCATCACACTGGCCAAGTATGTGACATGGGAAGAGGGGCTGGTTTTGTCCTATGGCACATTTGTCACACCTGCTTTAAACATTGTCTTTTTTGGTGCCTTGCAGTTGAACTCAGGGCCTTGTATTTGCCAGGGTTTTGCTACGCAGTTCAAGATGGCCTTGAGCTCACTTTGTAGCCCAGGGTGGTCTTGGACTTGCAGTCATCTTCCTGCCTCAGCCTCCTGAGTGCTGAGATCACATACATGCACCCTCACACCCATACTGTGATGCTGCTTTTGCCCATATCTTTCTAGATTCATTCTTCACAACTTGATATTAATGCCAATAGCAGTTTGTTAATGTTACCCTGATTTAGTGCAGTTTTGAAGCTAAATCTCCTGGGATGAAATTTCATAATGTATATTTTTAATTTTATTTATTTAATTTTTTGTGTTCCTAGGAAACAAACCCAGGACCTTGTGCATGCTAGGCATGTGCTTTTCCACTGAGCTATACTCAGCCCTCACAGTATTTTATTTTTTTCTCACAGTATATTTTAAGGTCATGGCTGGCTGTAGATATTTATCTACAATAGAAAAAGCCCTGGGTTCAATCCTCAGTACTGTAAAAAGGAGGGAAAAAAAAATCAAAAGATTTTTGAATTGGAGCCTCTGGGCATACATCACACGTCCTGTTACCCCAGTTGATGTTTTAAGAAATGATAATCTTCAAGTGAATCACCTCACCCCACCACACATACTGTTAGCTGAAAATAAGTCTAGACGTGGAAAGGGTGGGAGCATCCATTTATTGTGGAGGAACCTCAGGACCCTGAGATCCAGATGAGAGGAGCTAGGGCAAAAGGTTGGCAGACCTGGGAAGGTAGTTTTCTTATGTTCTCATCCTCTCTGCTTGGTGGCTATTAAACACTAGATATTTGATTTTTTTTGTCTTTTTTGAGACAAGGGCTGGGGATTTAGCTCAGCAGCATAAACGCCTGCCTTGCAAGCAGGCAGTCGTGAGTTCGATCCCTGGTACCAGTTAAAAAAAAGAAAAAGACAAAAAAAATTTTAAAAAGCAATTTTTTTTTTTTTTTTGTGACAGTCTCAGTAAGTCCCAGCTGGCTATAACTTTTTTTTTTTTTTTTTTTTTTTTTTTTTTGAGACAGGCTGTCTATGCAGTTCCTGCTAGCCTTGAGCTCACTTTGTAGCCCAGGCTAGTCTCAAACTCCCAATGATCCTCCCACCTCAGCCTACCAAGTGCTGGGATTACAGGTGTGAGCCACCACGCCCAGCTCAAACACTAGGTATTTGATTAAGAAGAATAAAGTTGGGCTGGGGATTTAGCTCAGCAGCATAAGTGCCTGCCTTGCAAGCGTGTGGTCGTGAGTATCGGTCCTTGGTACCGATAAAAAAAAAAATAAATAAAATTTAAAAAGAAGAATAAAGTTTACAATATTAAGGTCTCTAAAGAAAAAAAATAAGGGCAAGGGATGTAGCTCAGTAGTAGAGTGTTTGCCAGGTGCAAGGCCCTGGATTTAATCAGAAGTACTGCAAAAAATAAAAATTAGAAATTAAAAAATGTTTTTCACTGGATATAGTAGTGCATACCTGTAGTGCCAGTATTTGGGAGCTGGATCAAGAGGTTTAGATAGTGAGACCCTATCAACAAATAGCAAGGGGCTGGGGATTTAGCTCAGCGGCATAAGCACCTGCCTTGCAAGCAGGCGGTCGTGGGTTCAATCCCTGGTACCGATAAAAATGAAAAAGACAAAAACAACAACAAAAAAGTTAACTAAAATAAAAAAAAACAAAAAAAAGCAAGAGTCAGACATGTGGGGTGTTCATGCTGACCTAACTCACTGAAATGTTGCCCTGCCCCAGTGACTGTGAAGTGCTAACCACCCTCACCCCTGACACCGGCCGCATCCTCTCTAAGCTGCATACTGTCCAGCCCAAAGGCAAGATCACCTTCTGCACTGGCATCCGTGTGGCCCACGTGAGTCCTACTGGTCCCGGTGATTGTCCCTCCTTCCTCAGAGGCTCTGTCTCCAACACCACTCATCTCTGGAACCCTGAGCTAGAGCCAGAGCAGGGGGCAGGAAGAGCCTGTAGGAATTACTTGGAGAGAAAGGCTATGGTGAGATGAATCTCAGGATCCAGGAGAATTATGAATGTTAGAATTGAGATCCCTAGAATTGAGGGTTCTATCCACCTGTTCCCAGAGAGACACACCGGGAGGGAGGATTGGATCTTTAGTAGGTATGCAGTACATAGGACTGTAAGGAGCAAGTGACAGAGGAAAGAACTAGGCAACTTCTCGGGTTGACTCTGCAAAATCTCCTCCTTCACTAGCTGGCTCTGAAGCACAGACAGGGCAAGAATCACAAGATGCGCATCATTGCCTTTGTGGGGAGCCCCGTGGAGGACAATGAGAAGGATGTGAGTCCAAAGGGTGGATGTGGGGGCCTCTTGGGAATAGGAAGTGTGGTCTTTCACACTTGACACAGCCCAGCTGAGGCGCTGGGCCATTGTGTGGGAAAGGCGGGTATTGATTCAGTGTTTCTGCTGGGGCCCTGCAAGGTCAGCAGATTTTTGTGTACTGTTATGAGGCGTGTCCTTTCCCCTGAACGAGAAATTGGTATCTTAATTTTTTTTCTCCCTTTTTTCCCAGTTGGTGAAACTGGCTAAGCGCCTTAAGAAAGAAAAAGTGAATGTTGACATTATCAATTTTGGAGAAGAGGTGAGTCAGGACTGGAGGCATTGGTTTAATTGTGAACAGGACAGTCATTCCCAGTGGAGGGCACATACCAGGAAAGCTGTAGGTTGGGGCTGCAGTGGGGGGACTGTGTGTTACATGTTTCCCCTCCCCCAGGAGGTAAACACAGAGAAGCTCACAGCCTTCGTAAACACACTGAATGGCAAAGATGGCACCGGTTCTCATCTGGTAACAGTGCCTCCTGGGCCCAGCCTGGCTGATGCGCTCATCAGTTCTCCCATTCTGGCTGGCGAGGGTGGTGCCATGCTGGGGCTTGGTGCCAGTGACTTTGAATTTGGAGTGGATCCCAGTGCTGATCCTGAGCTGGCCTTGGTAAGCAAATGTGGGCCCCAGGTGGAGCCTTGGGTCCTTTGTTCTCCTCCATTGCTGTGTACATGATAGGGCTGAACAGTCCCATAGCCCTTAATCATTTTCCAAGACCTCGTTTCACTCCCTCTTGCCCATAATTCTCTCTGCTCTCTAGGAGCACCGGTGTCAAACTCTGTCTTACTCTCTTCTCCTGATGAAACCCGAGGCTTCTCCCGTATCCTGCCCTCTTATTATGCTACTTCGTCCCTCTCCAGCTTGTCTACATGATAAGCCAGCCTCTGCCCCTTTCCCAGCCTCTGAGCTGCCTCCCTAGCCACCCGTAGAACTGAGGCTGGGGGATGTCTGATCGTGCCCTGTGCTTTTCCAGGCCCTTCGTGTTTCTATGGAAGAGCAGCGACAGCGGCAGGAGGAGGAGGCCCGGCGGGCAGCTGCAGCCTCTGCAGCCGAAGCTGGGATTGCCACCACTGGGACTGAAGGTGAATGAGGTGGAATCTGAAGTCCTTGGACAGCAGGGTGCCAAACACTGGGAGCTGGAAAGGCACTACAGTGGGCATGGGGCACCAGGGGACTCTGGGAAGGCACGGTTGGAGAAACGGTGTGGGTATGGTGCTTGTTCTACTTGGATGCCCTTCCTCCTTTTCCCAGACTCAGATGATGCCCTGCTGAAGATGACCATCAGCCAGCAGGAGTTCAGTCGTACTGGGCTCCCTGACCTAAGCAGTATGACGGAAGAAGAGCAGATTGCTTATGCCATGCAGATGTCCCTGCAGGGAGCAGGTGAGCCAGATTGGCTTGGTGGTGTGGGGCAGAGGTCAAGTGGGTAGTGGAACTGAGCAGGCTGCTCTTCTTTCCTCAGAGTTTGGTCAGGCAGAGTCAGCTGACATGGATGCCAGCTCAGCCATGGACACCTCCGAGCCAGCCAAGGTGAGGGCCAACAGTGACCCCTGCCCTACCAGGCTCAAATCACCTTATGTTCAGAGCCTTGGCCCACAGCCTGGGGCCCTTCCTCTTGGTTTCAAGGATGAGAAGCTGGAACACTTCCTCCTGTGTGCGAACCTTGCTAAAGGAACAGAATAACTGTGGCCAGAGAGGGAGCAACACCCCAATGTTCTGAAACTAGTGGGACCAGTCTGGACAGTACTCTTGAGTACTATCTCCCCAGAAGAATAAGAAGAGGTCTGAGAAAAAGGAAAGGGAAGGGCCGGGGATTTAGCTCAGTGATGTAAGCGCCTTCCTGGCAAGGTCGTGAGTTGGATTCCTGGTTCCGGAAAGGGAAGGAAAGGGAAGGGGAAGGGAAGGAAGAATGGAAAAGAAAGAAAGAAAGGAAGGAAAGAAAAGAAAGAAAGGAAAGAAAGAACAAAAGAGAGTCTGGTAGTGGGAAACCTAAACGTGCTGGCTGCTGGGTTTTTCCTCTAAGTGTGGTTAGCAGAGTTCTCAGGCATCTCAGTGCAGTCATTAATGAAGGCAAGTTTTCATGCCCCTGGGCACTGCAGCCCACTGCCGTGCGGTCTCCTTCCTTTGGCTGAAGTACGCCAGCCTTATACTGTCAGGAGAGGAGCAGGGCTGGGCCAGGGCAGCTCCTGTCTCGCCCTCTTCCTGCCCTGAGCTGACCTGCCTGTCTCTAGGAGGAGGATGATTATGACGTGATGCAGGACCCGGAGTTCCTTCAGAGTGTCCTAGAAAACCTTCCAGGAGTGGATCCTAACAACGAAGCCATCCGGAATGCCATGGGCTCCCTGGCCTCCCAGGCATCCAAAGATGGCAAGAAGGACAAGAAGGAAGAGGATAAGAAGTGAGGCTGGAGGGGAAGGGTAGCTGTGCCTGCCTAGGGACTGAGGAGTGGGCGGGCCGGTGCAGTGTTAGGTGTGTCCTCTGTAACCCTTACAGCCTCAATAAAGTTTAGCAAGGTACTTTCCTTTTTCGGTTCACACAGTAGTTTCTTTGTGTGTGAGACAGGAGGAGCATGGTGTGGTGGAGTTCCTTCACTGTTAAGTACTCTGTCTTCACTTGCTGCTCTACGGATCTGACCCGCTTCCCTCCCTTTTATCTCTCCTCATGATAGGTGGTCCTCACAGACTGCCACCCTGGGGCTGTTTTACTTTGTATTAAAGAGATATTTTGAGAGCCAGAGATTTAGCTCAGTGGCGTAAGCACCTGCCTGGTAAGCATGAGGTTGTGAGTTCAATCCCTGGTACAAAAAAAAAAAAACTTTGAGAGCTCACTTTGTGTTAGGCACCACTGCCACAAAAGTGAATACAAAATTGCATTGGCCTTTAGGGACTCTTAGGGAAGAACTGGCATGCAGTGAGTGATACATTTCCCTGGAAGTGCCCAGGGAGAAGGGTGAGTGCTGGATCAGCCTCTGGCTCCTGCTGGTAAATTTTGAGCCCTCCAAAGGCAAGAAGTTGGTGGGCCAGTAAGGAAGAGATGGGGGTGATTTCAGCTCACAGGGCAGCATATGCCAGCTTGCTTAAGGCTTGTTTGAGGACTGAGCTCTGAGAATAGTTGGATGAGTGGCCAGGGGACCATGGACCAGGGACCTCTGAGGCCTCACTGTCACAATAGAGTAAATGAAGCCACAGAGTAGAACGTGGGACAGCTTCATGCAGCACGAAATTTGGAAGAAGGTTTTCTTGACTTCCTGGAAACTAGAGCCAGCCATCTGTGTGGAAAGAGCAGAAGACTGGAGCACAGGTCCAGTTGTGACTTGCTGGGCAGGTTCTGCCGACACCTGGGTTTGCTCGGATGCTGCATGCAGGTGCCCTGAAGTGGAAGTGACTGCTACTTCTATAGCGATACCTTGAAGTCCTAAGTGACAGAGTGTTTCTTGCAAGTCATATTTGATTTCTAAAATACAGTCTTCATGCCGAGTGTGGTAGCACACACCTGTAATTCTACCTACTCAGGAGGCTGCGGCAGGAGAATCACAAGTTTGAGGTCAGCCCGGGTAACTTAGCAAGACTTGTCTCAAAATTTTTAAAAAGGGCCAGTAATATAACTCAGTAGTGGAGCTTTTGCCTAGCATGCATAAGGCTCTAGATTCAAAACCCAATATAGAATTCAAGAAACCAAGAAGTTGCTGATACTATACTGGATTCCACATTATAACTAACCTGTAACACACTACTTTGTATTGAGTTTTAATTTTTTTAAACAAGCATGGTTTCAACATTTTACCCAGCTGTGCATGTAGCTTTTTAAGTACCCCCCTCCTGTTTTTGTTATTATGTAGTTCAGGTTAACTTCTTGCAGCATAGCTCAGTCTGGCCTTGAATATGACATCTTTAGCCTCAGCCTCATGAGTATTGGAGTGACAGATGTGTGCTGCCTTGGCCAGTTTGGAGTCCTCTGCCCAATGTGAGCTGCTTTTTCAAATGTCCTCTGCTCATTCTTGAAATAGTAGTCCAGAGGTAGTGAACCCGTGGTACATGTGCTGCAGTGGGCTGTATTGAAAGGTTTGCCATCCCCACACTAGTCTGTCGGTTTCCAACCTGGCTTGCTTTCTTCTGTATCCACTCTTGCTTTCAGTATTTCCATTTCACTCTGTGACACTTAAAAATCTCTCACATTTTTGGGCCTGGGGATTTAGCTCAGAGGCATAAGCGCCTGCCTTGCAAGCAGGCAGTCGTGAGTTTGAAAAAGACCCCCCCAAGGGAAAAAAAAAAAAAACTCTCACATTTTTATGTGACTTGTGCATCTAAATCTTCAATCTGCATCCCCTTCTACCATTTTAAAGCAAGAGTCATCCCCAGCCCTCTTTATATTTTTTATATTGAGATAGACTTAAGTAGTTAAATTAACCAAGCTGAGGTCAGCTTGGTTAATTTAGCTACTTGTTTTCTTTACGCCTCAGCCTCGCAGAGTACCTTCAGCAAGTCATTTTCTTCTTTTATTTTTCAATAAGCATACATTTAAGAAAATATGTAAGTAGCCAGGCATGGTGGCACAGGGCAGTAATCTCAGCACTCTGGGAGGGTGAGACGGGGATTTCAAGTTGGAATCCACCCTGGGCAATTGAGCAGTTTACTGAGACTCTGTCTCAGAAAAATTTTTAAAAGGTTGGGGCTATATCTCAATGCAAGGGCTTTGGGCTCAATTTCTAGAACCCCTGATTCTATATCACTACAAATACTTTATTTCAAAAGGAAAATATATAGCTGGAAATTGTACGGTTCTGTAATCCAGCACTTTGGGAACTTTGGGAGGAAGAGGAAAGAGGATCCAAGTTTGATCTCAGCCTGGGCAACTTAACCAACTTGGGAAGATCTTGTCTCAACATTTAAAAAATTTATAAATGGCAAGGGATGTAGCTCAGTGGGTTCAGTCCTCAGTACCACACACATACAGAGTAAATATGATACAAAAGAGGAAAAGTGGATAGCTAGTCAAAAATAATGTCTCATTCTCCAGTTAGTAAAACGCCAGATTCTGCTCCCTAAACTGATCGCTTTGCCAGTTCATTAATCCTTAAGTAGACTGCTTTAGAAAGCATATCCATTGCTTTTTAAATATAGTTGGTAGTGTACCATACAAAGCTCCTTTATCTAATTTGCTTTACATTGAATATTTTTGCAAGTAATACATACATACAGATAATTTTTAAATGAAAATTGGTGTCGGACCTCTCCCCTCTCCCTCTTCACTATTCTGTTTTTGTTTTTGTGAGGCAGGGTTTCACTACATAGTCCAGGCTGGCCTGGAACTTGGGATCCACCTGACTTAGTCTCTCAAATGCTGGGATTATGGTGTGTGCCTCCTTGCTTATATTTTACTTTGTTTTGTTCAAGACAGGATCCTGCTATGTATCCCAGGCTGAATTTGAACTCCAGATCCTCCTGCCTCAGCCTCCTGAATGCTGGGGTTGTAGCCTTGTATACGCCACTCCCTTTCCTTCTCTACACTTCAGTTCTAACAGGAATTTCAATTTCTTTTAAAATTTTTTTACATATTTATTTCTTTGTTGCTTAAATAAGATACTTTTTGGGGGGTGAAGGTTACTGGCAATTGAATTTAACCCTTAATTTCATTTTGAAACAAGTTCTTGCTAAGTTGCCCAAAGAGGACTTTGACTTACAACCCTTCTGCCTCAGCCCCTCAAGAGTACTGTGATTACAGTGTGTGCCACCATGCCTGGCCTGTTTTCATGCATTCAGTTTCTACAAAATCTTTATTATTTTGTGAACATACTTTAATAGCATCCTTGTCTTCTACCATGGGTGCTGTATCTTATTTTTCTGCGGATGTGTGTGTGTGTGTTGCTTAGGATCAAATCCAGGAACTTAGCTTGTCCTAGGCCAGTGCTCTACCCCAGCCCCATTTTATTTTATTTTATTTTTTTGAGACAGGGCATTGCATGAATTTCCCAGAGATACATAAAAGAAATGTTTGCCTCTGAATTGAGAGAGCATTGGTAGTCTAATGACATCCCAGACAAGTCCAGCCTGGCAAGTATATGAGTTTATTAGAGCTTAAAAACTTGAGTTCCTAAGACAGCTCTTCCAGCCTTGGAATTGCTCTGCTTTTCCCAAATA